TATTTCTTGCGTCTTGATGTTTTTGTCTTTGAAAAGCTATTGTTATACAGTTTACAGCTTCGATCTGCCCTTTGCTGAAGTTTTCTGGCCCCATATTTTCCGGCTGGTGAAATCTTCGGGAGCCTGTCCCATCAGAAAGTGCTTATAAACGGAATAATCCTTAAGGTAATTCGTACGCGCGATTATGTTATTAATAGCGTTTATCAGCATTATTTGTTCCTTTATATCTGTGACGCCATTAAATTTGTATCTGAATTCTCCACGTTGAGGAGTTACGTGGACGTATTTTCTTATCACACATTCCATTTTTGATATATTTTGTCACAGAACTTCGGTTGAAAAACGTGTAGCGCGGTTGGAAGTTGGAGCTCGACTGACTGGCCGGAGGATGCTGGCGAGCGGTCCTGGGTAATTGGGGAGCGTGGGGTGGGGAGAATTCCGCGCATGCGGGTCGCGGTGGTGCCACAATTGCCGCGCCCTATAAAGCTCGCTATTCAAGAGAAAATATTTTAACATTTTGTTGTGTTTATATTGTATTGTAAACAATTGAAGGTACGTATAGACTAGTATTTATATATTGGGAAATGCGTTGTCCCCAAAAGCTAGTATGGATTGGGCCTCCGGTAACCTCACTCACACGGCGAAACAAAACGCTGTGATTGTTTCACACCGGTTTCCTGTGACCGATTCCTGCTGAAGCATGGCTCAGAAAATACATATAACTCAGAAAAAGTCACATTTGTACTTGCCAGGTTGGAAACTCACACCTTCCTGCATGAGAAGCTTTATTTTATTTTATTTTGTGAGGGGAAAATCATGAAATGACTTCTCCCGCCCAGGGCCGGGCGGGAGGGAGTGTCAGACTCTTAATGACTAAAAACCCCCCTGTTCCTTCTCCTGCTCTGGGCCGAGATCGCGGTTCCCATTGCGCTTACCCCGCAACCCCAGCTGAACATAAGCCCTATAGGGCCCCGTCTACGGAGAAGCTACTACGACACTTTATCGTTATCATATATATAATTATGTCATGTTTTCTCAAATAAATGTCTTCACTGGAAAATTGACTAATTTGAAACCTATAACCGTTAAGGTTTGCAGAAAAAGCAGGAATGTCTTACCTCTGCCTGGCTTTTTTTACAACCCTTCTCGCCCTGAATGAGGCAACAGGCAATAACTAACTAAAAGTCTGCTTGTAACCACGACCTGTGCAACCAGGTCGAAAGGTCTACCAAGCCTACCAAGGTATTCAAATAATTATTTTCCGTGTGATATAAATTATAATGTATATACTTATCTCCTTGTCTATTGTATACCCCTTCCCTATGACTGTCTATGTTTAATTAAATTATATTATAATTAATTTAATTTAATTATATTAAATTATATATTATATTTATCTATGTTAAATGTTTACTAACCCAAGTGTGTTGTCTTTCTAGCTACTAACAATAAACTACCGCAAAGTCAATGTTCGACGGGTCTTAAAACTGCCGTCACAACTCGACACTGGCAGAATAGTCGACAACATAGGACACTCAGTTGCCATAAAGGAAAAAAAAATCCGCGTTTATACCCTCTTACAGTACGGCCGACGTATCTTGGCGAGTCTGAAGTTAGCCGTTTGTCTGCGCAATGGATCTTTTAGGATCAAAATTGTCTATTGCGCAGCTAATCGGCTAACTTCAGACTCGCCAAGACACGTTGACGGTATTGTAACTATATGTTGTTGTTGTTATTGACTAAAAACTCCGTTCACCCTCCTGCTTCGAGCTAGCAGTATACCTATTAGGTACCTACTGCGCTTGCTCCCACAACCCCGGATAGATATCAGCTCTAGTATCCCTCTGTCTTACTATCTGGGCCTCAAGTCTGCAATTACAATAGTGGATCATTGATTTCAAAATTGTTGTTTTTTGACAAGTTTAGTAATCTACTAACATGATGGCGTCATTATTACTATCATTGGTAAGTGCCAATGAGACTTCATTGAAAGAGTTCTATAAAACGGTAATCTCGTACATAATGACAAATGAATATTATTTTGACCTAATGCGGTAAATTAATAAAAAAAAAACAGGTTCTTTAATTAGTGATTTACGATTCGAATAATATTGTGCAGCTGTTAATATGTAATTGGTTACAAGACATCTCGTACCACAATTGTATTACGACACCACTGGCCGCTCAATGTTGAGCCATTATGAAATAACAGATTACGAACTTTTAGCAAAATAACAGTGAAATCGTGTTGGAATGACAATACTTTGAAAATAGCAGACTTGGGCCCCTGTTTGTTTGAGACGCACACGGAACGTGACGCGACTTCTCTCGTTTCCTAGTCCAGGCCGGGCGGCGAGCTACCCTGGCTCCCCGTGCGCAGTGAACGGAGGTTGTTACACGGTCCCCAACTCCCGGAGTATCACCGATCAGTAACTTGAAAATGTACCAAATTGTGACGTCACACACGATATTTCAAATCAATATATCGGCGAAAGTATTTGATACTGTAAGAAAAGAAAACCACCATGTCAAATGTTTTAAATCTATACTAATATTATAAAGAGGTAAAATTTGTAAGTTTGTAAATTTGTATGTTTGTAAGTTTGTATGTAGGGGGTAATCTTTGGGACCGCTGGTCGGATTGCCAAAATTCTTTCACTGATAGATAGCTACAATGTTCCTGTATGCTATAGGCTATAAAACATCACGCTACGATCAAATGGAGCCGAGCAGCTGGTGAAACCGCGCGAGAGTAGCTAGTCATCTATTACATCTCTACTAGCTACCGACAGCGGCTTCATCCGCGTGGTATGTTGATGAAAAGTAGCCTATGTCCTATTCCGGAGTGTATTTTCTGCCTGTGCCAAATTTCATCAAAATCCGTCCTGTCGTTTTGGCGTGATTGAGTAACAAACATCCAAACATCGTAACTTTCGCATTTACAAAATTAGTAAGGTGAGCTTCACAAAAAAAAAACTAATTTATAATAAATTGCAATTTTAATAAAAAAACAACAAAGGTTTTAAAATATAAATGCAGTTTTAAACCTGAGAACAGCCAGCTTTAACTGTTGCATCCTCCCCCAGCTTTCGTCCCTGAAATATCGATTCAGTGCACCCTGCAAGAGAGGCTAGGTTTAGGCTATTTATATTTAGGCATTTGATTTCTAAGTACTAGAACGGCGTTCGAGATGTTTCTCTACAGACTTATAATATTATAAATTTATATTTATTTAAGTTATATACTGTTATATATATTGTTTATTATTGTTTAAAAAAAAAACGTTGCACTTTAAGATTTTCTCCTGTGTTGTGGGTGCGTTTACAAACATACAATGTCACATACACATGACAACCAGACCCGAAACAATTTGTGGATCACACAAAGTGTTATTCCGTGCGGGAATCGAACCCGCGACACGTTGCACGGCAGCCAGTTGCCCAGCCACCGCACCAACCGTGCAGTCTAATTTATATAACATTAATTTTAGTAATATCTATATATGCATAAAAAATGTACAAAGGTGGGCTTAATGCCATGGGCATTCTCTGACAGCCAAACCTTTGGGTGATGCAGAGATAAATTTAAAGGTGCACAAAATAAGCATCATCAGAGACGTTATACATAGACTTACATATATATGTACTATACTGGAAATAAATAAATACGTTTATATGTATACTAAGTGTGGGAGAGCCATGCTTCGGCACGAATGGGTCGGCTCGACCGGAGTGATACCACGGCCTCACAGAAAACCGGCGCGAAATAACCACGTCGTTGTGTTTCGCCGTGTAAGTGAGGTTACCTGAGGCCCAATCCTTCCCCTCCCCTTATCCCTAAATCTCCAAATCCCTAATCCCTAAAAGGTCGGCAACGCACTTGTCACTCTCTTCGTTGCGGGGTGTCCATGGGCGGCGCTGATTGCTTACCATCAGATAATCCGTCTGCTCGTTTGCCGACCTATTACATAAAAAAACTATATACCTATACAGCAATAATATAATCACATATACTACTTAAAAGTATACATATTTTGCTATTTGATGTCATGATCACGATACCTCTGCCAACCTCTTCAAAAGCAACGCCCGAACCTTTTGCTTGAACGCCCAACGATTCGACACCATCCTGACATCGAGGGGGAGCGCATTCCACAGAATAATAGATTGAAAAAAAAAAGAAGAATGAAGAAATTTAGTGTGATGAGTTGGACATTGGAGAAGGCGGTTATTAGAGATTATAAGGAGAATCAAGGAAGGAGAACAGAGTGGTTAGCGCCCTTTTTTATGTAGTATAGATTCTGACATAGCTAATACCTTACCAAACTGTGTGGGAGAGCCATGCTTCGAAATAAATGGGTCTCGTTAGCTGGAGTGATAGCACGACGGTACAGAAAAACCGGGGCGTAGAGCAACCAATGAATGAGGTTCTCTCCATCACCAGTCCCGAAATCAAATCCCTTACCAGCAAAACTGGCACGCACTTGCAACTTCTCTGGTGCTTTTGATTGGAGGCTCAATCGTTGCCTAAATACCTCATTTGTGATGGTAAAATCGTTAAATCTTCTTAATGGAAGTGTCATACTCTTTCTGAGTAAAACCCTTCGTTCCGTCCTGCTCTGGGCCGAGGCCGTGGTGACTCATTGCGCTTACCCCGCAACCCCGGCTGAACATCAGCCCTATAGGGCCCCGTCTGTGGTGGTCTATTAGCTCTTTGAGGCGCGCGCGGAACGCTACGCGCCTTACGCTCGAGTCTGGTTCTGGTCGGGCGGCGAGCTACCTTTACTCGCCGTCCGCAGACCCTAGAAAAGCTGTCCTACAGCGAAAGAAGCTAAAAAACAAAATAGAACAGATATTGGTAAAGCGCGGTTAATTTCTTTTGGACACTTCTGTGGACTTAATGCCAGAAGCTTTCTCTGCTAGTCGAACCTACTTTTGCTCTTTCGGCAGAATGGCAATCTCATAAATAAAGAAGAGTAGAAGAGCCGTATTTCGGAACGAATGGGTCGGCTCGACTGGAGTGATACCACGGCCTCACAGAAAACCGCCGTGAAGCAACCACAGCGTTGGGTTTCGCCGTGTGAGTGAGTCCTTCCCCATCCCCAATGCCTAATCACCAAAAGGTACAACGCACTCGTAACTCCTCTGTTGTTGCGGATGTCAATGGGTGGCGCTAATTGCTTACCATCAGGTAATCCGTATGCTCGTTTGCCCTGTCACATAAAAGAGACTTATTTTGCATCCCATTCTTTAATACCCAAATACATCCCTGTTTCGGACGCCATTTTAATAACCTAGTATACCTACGCACAACTCCACACACCCACTCATACTCTACAAAGTTCAAATGAAAATGAACTGTAATCTGCATTTTATAAAGTAAGATTTTCTTTGGAAGTCCGCAACGCGGGGTTTATTGATTTTGAGCTGCAATTTAGAAGGGATGAGATAGAAAGGAAGTCACTATAAGTACCTATCTATCTAGTTAGGTGTAGGTACGGTACTAGAAGTGTGTGAGAGCTATGCTTTGATGAACGGGTCGGCTCGACCGAAGTGATACCACGGCCCAATGACATTATAAGTAAAATGGTGTAGATAGGTTACCAAAACAACGCAGGTGAGTTCGTTCATTCGAGTACCCAGTGACCCTCTCATTGTTTTCTGGGATTGAGTGTGTGGTTTTAGTCGGTAAGAGTCCGACATAACCTGCTGTCTGACGCTCTTGTCTAAACAAAGGGTATCCATGAGGATATCCACACATTAAAAAAAAAAGTTACCAAAACAAAATTCGATTTTTAAAAACGACACACTGATACACATAATATGTCCAATTCGTATGTATACGTACGTTTAAGTGAGATGGCATGATTCAATAATCGCGAGTGTTAAAGAGACAAATATGAAAAAGTGTGGCTAGTTAGCCACATTAATGTATGTATCACTTGCTGAACGCTTGTAACCTATCTACACCTTTTTAGTAACGGGATTTGAGGTAGGTAAGCGGATTTTGGAATAAGACATGTGGGAGCAAGGGGTGGAGTTGGACCTCCGGTAACCTCACTCATACGCGGAAACACAAGTCTGTGGTTGTTTCACGCCAGTTTTCTGTGAGGCCGTGGTATCACTCCGATCGAGCCGACCCATTCGTGTCGAAGCATGATTATCGAACACTTCTTGCTCCAGGCCAAGGTACCTCATTGTTCTTGACCCACAACCCCGGCTTAACATCAGCCCTGTTGGGCCCCATCTAAGGAAGTAGATTAGCTCTTAGAGACTCCTCTTGCTTACTGACCGCATACCCGCAGTGCTGTGGTCGGAGATCGTCACTCGATCCCCGATGCTCAAAAGGATGATAGAGGACAGATCCTTCACGCGCTTGGCCTCCTCCTTTGTGAGCATCATTGCTTCGCAGCAGAAGGAGACGACTTTCCAGTTCTTCTCGCTTTGCACCTTGGCCTCGACTAAAAACGGCCATGATCACTCGTCTGAGAACGCGGCGGTGCTTATCCCAAGCAGGGCAGACCTCCATCGTCCGCTCTGCCGTGTCCTCTGGGTGGTCCTCAACCGCAAATCAAATCTAACAACCTATTATGCCTATCGGTGGAGTCCATTGCTTACCATCAGGCTGTAAGTTTCTCTTCCTTTTTCTCTTTGTCATTGTTTTAAAATAATATAACATTGTTTTAGTAATTTATTTGATACTAGCAACTCTCGCGCGGTTTCACCTGCTGCTCGGCTCCATTTGATCGTAGCGTGATGTTTTATAGCCTACCTATAGCACTCAGGAATATTGTAGGTAGCTATCTATTAGTGAAAGAATTTTGGAAATCCGACCAGTGGTTCCAAAGATTACCCCCTACATACCTCCTTCTGTGATGCAGTTATGCTCGCAGAGGGAGGCGGCCCGCGTGAGGGAGCAATCCTCCTCCTCACACCCCAGCCGCCGCAACAGGCGACACGACGGGCGTCGGGGATCAAGGGACGATCTCCGGCCCGGCGAGTAAGGGCAGCTCACCGCTCGACGAGAACCAGACCCGAGCGTACGGCGCGTAGCGCTCCGCGCGCGCCTCAAAGATCCAATAGACCACCACAGACGGGGTCCTATAGGACTGAAGTTCAGCAGGTGGAGGAACAGGGGGGGGTTTTAGTCAGTAAGAGTCTGACACTCCCTCCCTGATTTCCCCCTCACAAAAAAAACTCCCTACATACAAACTTACAAATTTTACCTCTTTATTATATTATTATAGAATTTTACTTTATTTTATTATAGAAGTATAGACAACGTTATCAATTTGTATTCATTTTAGTGTGGGAGAGCCATGCTTCTGCACGAATGTGTCGGCTCGACCGGAATGATACAACGGCCTTACAGAAAAATAACCACAACGTTATTTCACCGTATGAGTGATGTTACCGGAGGCCCAATCCCTCCCCAATCCTTATTTAATTATCCAAAACCCTTATCCCCAAAATGTCGGCAACGGACTCGTAGCTCTTTGTTACAGCGGGTTTTTATGGGCGGCGCTGATTGACCATCAGGTAGTCAGTCTGTGCGTTTGCCATCCAACCACATAAAAAATCTTGTTATATTATATTTGCATGCTGTGACTTTTAAGCGGAAAAGCACAACATTTTTATTATTTATATTATCTAGCATATAAAGTGTTTTCTTTGTTAGAATTCCAAATAATTAATAAGTCTGCTTGTTTCTGGACCTATAATTTATTACGTAATCCAGACGACAAGTAAGGGTAGCTCGCCGCCCGACCAGAACCAGACCCGAGCGTACGGCGCGTAGCGTTTCGCGCGCGCCTCAGAGACAATAGACCACCATAGACGGGGGCCTATAGGGTTGATGTTCAGCCGGGGTTGCGGGGTAAGCGCGTTAGTCAGTAAGAGTCTGACACCTCAGAAGTCATTAGATGACTTTCTCATCACAAAAAAAAACCATGACGAAGTCGATTCAATGTTTTTTCTTTCACCAAGGAAAATGAAAGGCACGAAATAAAATAAATTTTATATAATTTAGGGCTGAATTTTCAATAGTCAGATAAATGTTAACTGTCACTGTCTTATACAAACATTGTGACGCGACAGCATCATAATTATTCCCCAGGTAACTTTTATCTGACCATTGAAAAATCAACCTTGAAAAATAATAATAATAAAGATAAGTATTTATCACAAATTTCGCTTAAACTATTGTTTGAAATTAATTTTGTATCCTTTAGAAACTGGATCCTGTTCCATTTGAAAATTCTCTGTTGACAAGCCAAAAGGTTTTAAAATCATGTTGCCAAGATCTTTGAGTTTTCCTAGCATTTCAGTTTTGAGTTTTTCATTTTTCTCTTCAATTAGTGGCGGTAAACGGACAGTGGCTTGAATCGCTTCCTTATGAGAAGGATCATATTCCAAAATTTTCTTATAATCAGCTAATGACTCATCTAATTTTTCTGTTGCTTCATACGATTGGGCTCTCCTGAAAAATACATAAAGTTATTAATAAAAAAGACACATCTATACTAATGTTATAAAGAGGTAAAATTTGTAAGTTTGTATGTAGGGGGTAATCTTTGGAACTGCTGGTCTGATTCTCAAAATTCTTTCACTGATAGATAACTACAAGGTTCCTGAGTGACATAGGCTATAAAACATCACGCTACGGTTAAATGGAGCCGAGCAGCGGGTGAAACTGCGCGAGAGTAGCTAGTAATATTATAAAGAGGTAAAATTTGTAAGTTTGTAGGTTTGTAAGTATGTATTTAGGGGGTAATCTTTGGCTCCGCTGGTCGGAGTGCCAAAATTCTTTCACTGATAGATAGATAGCTACAATGTTCCTGAGTGCTATAGGTTATAAAACATCACGCTACGATCCAGTGGAGCCGAGAAGCGGGTGAAACCGCGCGGGAGTAGCTAGTTTGCTTATGGAAGGGTGTCGTTGTGGCCCGGAGGTTAAGGCGCCCCCGCTGAAACTGTACTTAGACACAATCGGGTAGTTTCCTAGGTCAAAAATAAATAAATTCGACGTTTCAATACAATAAAATATTGAAAAATAACTATACTTTTACTTTTATTATTCATCGATCAGTCAATCAGTCAATACACACATTTTTGATAATTTTTAGCATTTTTTTAAGAAATAAGTAAACTATTTGACGCAAAACTACTATGATGTCAGAACTCAGTGTTTCACACAAAGTATAGTTTTTGACATTTGGATAAAAGTATTGAATTTGACTAGTTGGAAACTACCGTATACCGTGAAGGAAAACTTAGTGAGGAAACCTGGACTTGTAATTTCTAATTTGAAATCACCATTCGACCTTGAGCAAGCCTGGTGATTGATATTCAAAACTTCGTCATATAAGAAGAGGCCTTCCTACGGCCTTTGCTCCGCAGTGGGCACTTATAAGGTGATAACGTGATGATGTACGTGTGCAAAGGTAATCGACCGCGGTTATTACAAAGAGCACCATCTTCACTGACAGAATATATTATATATACTAGCTACTCTCGCGTTATTTCACCCGCTGCTCAGCTCCATTTGATCGTAGCGTGATGTTTTATAGCCTATAGTACTCAGGAACATTGTAGCTATCTATCAGTGAAAGAATTTTGGCAATCCGACCAGCGGTTCCAAAGATTACCCCCTACATACAAACTTAAAAATTTTACCTCTTTATAATATTAGTATAGATTTTGTCGTTCCAAAATTATTTGTAGGTATACTAGCTTCCACCCGCATGGAATTATATCGATATCATATTTTCTTTTGTTGTACTTTTAAAAAAAGTCACTTTCTCTGTCCCTATATCCCTATGTACGCTTAAATCTTTAAAACTACGCAACGTATTTTGATGCGGTTTTTTAATAGATAGAGTGATTGAAGAGGAAGGTTTATATGTATAATAACATCCATTAAACAGTGGAGAAATTTTGTAGGTGTCAGATGTCTGTACTTACCGTATATATGCTTTAACATAGTTTTCATCCAGTTCTATGGCTTTAGTGCAGTCCTTGATAGCTTGTTTATATTTCTTAAGCTTCATTTTCGCCGCACTGCGGTTGCAATAGAGCACGGAACGCTGCTGTGCAAACTGCAGCGGACATGTTCTGAGACCTGTAAACAATATTATACATTCAGGTATTAGTTTGAGGATCTGGGAGCCGTCTTGGAACTGGGGCGGGCGTCGGGGATCGAGAGAAGATCTCCGGCCACCGTAAGCGCGGGTCTGCGGATGGCGAGTAAGGGAAGCCAGCCGCCTGGCCCAGAGACCCAAGCGTATCGCGCGTAGCGATCCGCGAGCGCCTTAAAGAGCCAATAGACCACCAATGAAGATTCCCATTCACAGAATGTCAATAAGGTTAGCCGGTTAAGGATCTTTGCTGACATGTTTCGTTTGGAATTTCTCGATTTTGATCGCATTGATGTCGTGGCCTCTCAGAAAACGATGAGTTGTATTTCGCAGTGTTTATCAGGACTGTGAAGGGTCCTTCTCTCAGCCGAGGCTGCAGGGCAAGCGCAATGAGGCACCGTGGCCTCGGCGCAGAGCAGGAGAAGGAACAGGGGGTTTTTTAGTCAGTAAGAGTCTGACACTCTCTCGCCTCACCCTTGGCGGGAGAAGTGATTTGATGATTTTCCCCTGACAAAAAAGAGGTTCGGAAAACTATCTTTTCCCCGCTAATTTATATAGGGTGCCTGGTAATTAGTGACGGTTATTTAAACACGTGACTGTACACATGATGAAAACACAACTTTGCCAAAGAAACTTTTAAAAAAATGTTGCCCCACACTCCCCTGTGTCGTGAATGTGTTTACAAACATACAATGTCACATACACATCACACCTAGACCCGAAACAACAATTTGTGGATCACACAAAGAGTTGTTCCATGATTTGATCCCGCGAAACTTTGCACAGCTAGTTGTCAAGCGACTGCGCCAACCATACAGTCAAAGTTATGGATTTTATGACGGACCCATTTGAGCCTAAGCTTGGCTATGCCACTCTTTTCTACCTGCAAAGGACTAGTGTTTGTGTTGTGCTAATGAATAGGGTCCATTCATAAAATTCAAAACACATACATGCTATCTACTAATACATCAATTAGGACCGATCAGCTCTAAACTGCCTAAATATATTGTCCTTGAGGTTATTTTCTGATTCTTCAGCTAATTACTGTTACACTGCAAATAGCTTCACTAAGAGGACTGACTGACAAACTGACACTTTATTTTATATGGTAAAAATTTTGTTTGACGTTCAAAAGTGCCTGTGTGGGTTATAAATGATTTTGACTTTTACTGGTCTCACATAATAGAATAAACTTAGGCCTGATTTTTCAATAGTCAGATATATGTTATATGAGGAATAAAATTGTTGCTGTCACTGTCTTATACAAACATTCTGACGCAACATTATCATAATTATTCCCTAGGTAACTTTTATCCTAACCATTGAAAAATCAGCCCTTAATAATTTAACAAAGAGTTTGATTATGAGATCGATTAAGAGTTTGATTATGAGATTGATTAACCATGGAGTTTCTTGCTCATTCTTCTCCTTAGAAATCTACACTTTGGAACAAGCAAATAGCTTCACTAAAGAATGACTTTTGACCAATATACTGATGCTTGTAAATTTTAATAAATTTATTTGTTTCATCTTTTAGTGCCTTTAATGGTCTAATTGAAATAAATTATTTGACTTTCAAGTTTGTGGTGGCCCAGAGGTTAAGGCCAAAAGGCTTCTCATACAAGAGGGTGTGGGTCCGAAACCTGACAAGTACCAATGTGACTTTTTCCGGGTTGTATGTACTTTCTATGATTATTTAGAGTCTAAAATTTTACACACCACTGACATATGGTGAAGGAAAACATCGTGAGGAAACCTGGACTTATATTTTCTAATTATAAGTTTGAAATGGCCAAACCGCATTGAGCAAGTGAGCTGATTAATGTTCAATTAAACCTTCTCCGTGTGAGAAGAGGCCTTGCTCAGCAGTGGGCACTTACTGATGATGATGACTTTTAACTTTATTTACTACTTGGACTGGACATGTTTGTGCAAATACCACTCACCTTCAGTATACTTCTCGATGCTTCGTTCATAATCACCATCCTTAAACGCATCATTGCCAGCTTTCTTCAACTCCTCAGCAATTATCCGCCGTTCTTCCTTCTGGTCATCAGTGAGGTCTACTTCGGCATCCTTCAGGGAAACTTCATCGATATCTGTGTCACTGTCTTCCTTGATTTTAGAGTCTTTTTCTGCGAAATCTTTATCTAAGTTGCCATCCTCTAATAGATCTGGGTAGATGGACGGTGTGTCTGGAATTGATGTTGCTTTTATTGAAGATTGATGCGTCATTTAAGATAAATATGCTTTTTATTAAGAAAGAATACAGATTCTAATGAGAAGTTATTTGGATTTTACGATGTTTGTTAAATAAGACGTAATGGTAAAGAAAAAGTAGAATTATGCAGCAATTCGGCATTGAGAAGTAATAAAAATTACCAAAGAGGCTACGCCTGTTTTGAGTTTAACAAAAAGTTGAAAAAAATACGAACCGCTTGTCTTTGGTGCATCTCCGGCAGCCTTGGGAAAGTTCTCAGAACTTGTACCAGGACTTATGACAAATTCATCAACAGATTCTTCGGTTTTCAATGAAGTTTCCAAGTTCTTTGTAAGATCGTCGATAATTTCGTCATTTTTCACATTATCCGTACTTTGTAACCTCTTCGACATTTTATATTTTTCACTTTTATATCTTAGGATGGTCAAAAACTATAATTGGCGATTTAGAATCCAAGAAAATGGGGGAAAATGTGAAAATTCTCTTTATTTTGATTGTCTTCTCGTTTCAACGCGAATTTTGACAACTTGACGGGGTTTTTAGATGTGTTCCAGTACTATTCAATTTATTTCCGTCTGTCATTGTTGAGCATGTTATTTCTGGAATCATCTATCTAAAATTGATGTTTTTCCTGCACTTAGATAAAATAAAACATTATATTTTTGTGTTTCAAATGTTAAAGACTGGGATTAATTTTGCCTTTTAAGTTTGAATCAACTCTAAGGCCGGCTAATCATTGAAAGGGTATAATTTAAAAGTTATTATTGTTAACAAAATAGTTGGCTTATGCTAAAAATAAATAACTCGGATTTAATTGTGGATGGAGCGTGACCAAACGTTTATATCCGATTAGCGTTTAGTTATGTAATAGAAACGAATTAAGTCATAAAAATATTATAATAAAATGCATGATTATTCCTTTGTTCTATAAATTTTAATCTTTTAAATTGAAAATTAATATCTCAAAGAAATTTAGGTAGCTTTACTAAAGCCACGATAACTTTTTTTTAATTGAAATATAACGCGGACCTTTAAAACTAAACGCAATGTCAACGTCAACATCAGGTGTTACACTTTTCCTATCGACGCAGCAATCCAATTCTTACTTTAATGTAACATAAACAAATTGGCTTACGAAAAATTCTAAATATTGAATAAAGTATAATAAAACGCAACCGAATCCAAACATTGGAATAATAGTTTTATTAAGTTATCCAAAAGCTTATTTTATTAATACATTTTCATTAAAAATATTCCTCCCGAATTTCAATGTCATAAACGGAACGTATCTTGTGTAACCTAAAAACTAAAACTCTCTAAGGTCAAGAATAATTTGATGAAATTATCATTATGTTATCATATATCAGTTAAGAGACTATCTCGTTGTATTACTTAATATACAGTGGTGTTATACGCAGTGATTCAGCGCTTCCAAACGCTCCCGTGGTTTAGAAATAAGAAAAATGTTGCGGAATTTATTGAAAAGTGTAACAACACGAAATCTCCGTTGTTCAATTAAGAACAACGGTATAACATCGAATTTCGTCAATCAGAGGAGCATAGCACCATTATCTACAACAGAATTAGCTTTAAAGGAGGAGAAGTAAGTAGTTTTTTAACGTTTTTACATGAATTTTAGATGATGTATTCAAATTGTTAGATCTTAATCTAAAAAGAGGTTTGTAGCTAAATTGAAACTTTTTGGACAACCTATTTGATATACTGGTTGCTGTATAGAGATTTTACACATTTTGTTAGTCTATTACTAATCAAATTCTATGCTTAAAAGGTTTCAGATTTTTATTTTTTCTATTTTAACTAAAATTGTTATCAATGAACCCAAATTTAATAGATATTGATTAATTGGTTAATTAATTACATATATTCCTTCAATATTAACATTAGATAATAATGATGCCCCACTTTACAGTAAAGGAATACTGACTAATTAAAAAATGTGCTTTTTTGAACCGTAAAATAAATTTTATCTTAGAATCTGTATTAACATGCCAGTTTATACTACACATATAATTATACACTTTAATTCAAGTTAAAAAATAATATACAGGTACTTTTGAAATATCAAAGTAGAATAATAATCCCATCAACCCTGTTTGTCAGTTAAGCTATGTGCTTAGAGTAACCATGGAGTTACTTACTTAGGAATGTGCAATATGGCTTTCAAATAAAATAAACAGCCAGTCTTATTTCAAAACTGAAATCTTCAGATCATATCCTGTTTTATTCTTAATATCTTGTTTCTCTATACAACTTTGCCAAATAACAATTTTTGTATTGATAATACATAGGTAGGTAATTAATTTGGGGTTTGTTATAAGTTTAAATAATCTTGTAATAAGTTTAATAGCGTAATTGGCTTTGGTTGTTCTATTTAATGAAATTTAAGTGTGGGAGAGCCATGCTTCGGCACGAATGGGTCGGCTCGACCGGAGTGATACCACGGCCTCACCGGCGTGAAACAGCGTTGTGTTTCGCCGTGTGAGTGAGGTTACCGGAGGCCCAATCCTTCCCCGCCCCCAATCCCTCCTCAATCCCTAAATCTCCAAATCCCTAATCCCTAAAAAGTCGGCAACGCACTCGTAAATCCTCCGTTGCGGGTGTCAATGGGCGGCGCTGATTGTTTACCATCAGGTAATGCGTCTGCTCGTTTGCCGACCAATTACATAAAAAAAAAAAACTATACTAATATTATAAGGAGGTTACATTAAATTTCTAGTAGTTTGTATGTAGGGGGTAATCTTTGGAACCGCTGGTCGGATTTCCGAAATTCTTTTACGGTAATCTTTGGAACCGCTGGTCGGATTTCCAAAATTCTTTTACTGATAGATAGCTACAATGTTCCTGAGTGCTATAGACTTTAAAACATTATGCTACGACCAATAACAGCCGAACAGCGGCAGAAATAGCGTGGCTGTAAATAAATAAAGTAAATTGACAGAATTACAAACAAATTGAAAGTGTATGTATTTAAATTCTTAGTAAAAATGCATTGTATACCCTTTAATAAGTAATTTATTGATTATCACCATACTTATATTTATTGAATAACTAGCTTCCGCCTGCGGTTCCGCCCGCATAGTATGTTGATAAAAAGCAGACTATGTCCTATTCTGGATTGTATGCCTGTATGCCTGTGCCAAATTTAATCCAGATCCATCCAGCCGTTGTGGCGTGATCAAGTAACAAACATCCAAATATCGTAACTTTCGCATGTATAATGTAAGTAAGATTTGTAAGAAGTCACATAAGGTTTTTTTTGGTTAACCTGTTTAAAATGCATCATTTCGCAAGCCAAATTTGTTTTTATTCACTAAGAGTCTGACACTGCCTCTCATCTTTGCTCCGGGTGGAGCTCCGTATGGTATTTCGCAAAACTGCTCACCGAAAGTCCCATGGAACACCCTTCCTATAATCTCAGTATTATTTTATTATTACCTATATTTTTCTACTAGACCTAAGGGTCAAGCTGAAAGAAAAACTATCCATTTTGGCAAAAAGAATTCTCCTACAACTACAACAACAGAAAGTGTGTTATTGCCTATATTTTTTAAAGACTTCTACGAGACCTAAGGGTGTTGTCAAGCTGAAAGAAAAACTATCCATTTGGCAAAAGAATTCCCCTACAATGAGTGCTAACGGCGAAAGATTCGTTCGTTTAACCAATCGTCGTTGAAGAGTGTTTTCGGTGAATCGTTACAGCGGCGAAGGATTCATTCGGACTACCAACCGTCGATGAATAATATTATCAGCGAAACGTAAGTTAAGTATGGGAGAGCCATGCTTCGGCACGAATGGGTCGTCTCGACCGGAGCGATACCACGGCCTCACAGAAAACCGGCGTGAAATAACCACAGCGTTGTGTTTCGCCGTGTGAGTGAGGTTACCGGAGGCCCAATCCTTGCCCTCCCCCAATCCCTCCTAAATCCCTAAATCTCCAAATCCCTAATCCCTAAAAGGTCGGCAACGCACTCGTAACTCCTCCGTTGCGAGTGTCCATGGGCGGCGCTGATTGCTTACCATCAGGTAATGCGTCTGCTCGTTTGCCGACCTATTAAATAAAAAAAAGAAACGTTTATCGGCCAATTATTTTTTCCTTCAATGGACCGTCGGAGTAGTCTTATCGGAAAACCGTCGTTTCGGTGAGCGGGTTTTCGGAATACCATACGGAGCTCTCTCCGGTGAGAGAAGACATTTGATGATTTCTCCTCAAAAAAAAAGCCACGATTTCATCATACCACGCGATTATTACATAAACAAATTTAAAACCTGCTGATATGTTTAAATACTTAAGTCGATTAGAATTCTATTTTTATTTTTGTAGGTACTTACTTGATATTATCAATGATGTTAAAATTTATTTTTAGAAGTCAATCATTGTTGGTTTCTTTTTTTTTATGTAATAGTTCGCCAAACGAGCAGACGGATTACCTGATGGTAAGCAATCAGCGCCGCCCATGGACACCCACAACGGAGGAGTTACGAGTGCGTTGCCGACCTTTTACGGATAAGGGATTTGGAGATTCAGGAATTGAGGGGCCTCCGGTAACCTCACTCACACGGCGAAACACAACGCTGTGGTTGTTTCACGCCGGTTTTCTGTGAGGCCGTGGTATCACTCCGGTCGAGCCGACCCATTCGTGCCGAAGCATGGCTCTCCCACACTTAGAATTGGATTGTTTGAATTACTTTACACCAATCCCACCAATCAACGTCGTGGTAGGCCGATGCAAGTACCAATGTGACTTTTTCCAAGTTATATGTACTTTCTATGATTATTTAAACACCACTGACATACGGTGAAAGAAAACATCGTGAGGAAACCTGGACTTATAATTTCTAATTATAAGTTTGAAATCGCCAATCCGTTTTGAGCTAGCGTAGTGGTTAGTGCTCAAACCTTCTCCGTGTGAGAAGAGGCCTTTGCTCAGCAGTGGGCACTTATAGGCTGATGATGTGTCATCTTAATAACATCAATCAATCATATGCTACATCTCACACGTATCACCAACTAACTCGGTGTAACAGGGCTGATGTTCAGCCAGGGTCGCGGTTCGAGCGCAGTAAGGTACCGCGGCCTCGACTTAAAGCAGGAGAAGGAACGGGGTGTTTTTAGTCAGTAAGAGTCTGACACTCTCTCTCGCCTTACCCTGGGCGGAAAAACAAACTTGATGGCATTAAATCCTCAAAAAAAAACTGAGATATCTGTCTGTCTGTTTTGACTCTCGATTACGTTGTCCCGAGTAATGTTAGCTTGTGTATCTGAAATTGTATGTGTGTAACCACGACACAAGAGGAAATACTATTTTAAGTGTGAGAGAGCCAAGCTGCGACACGAATGGGTCGGCTTGACCGGAGTGATACCACGGCCTCGCAGAATACCTGCGTGAAACAACAACCACAGCGTTGTGTTTCGCCGTGTGAGTGAGGTTAGAGGAGGTTCAATCCCTCTCCCCTTCCCCCCTATCATTTTCCCTTCCCGATCCTTATATCCGCAATCCCTATCCCTAAAAAGCCGGCAACGCACTCGTAACTCCTTTGGTGTTGCGGATGACCATAGGCGGCGCCGATTGCTTACCATCAGGTAATAAGTCTGCTCGTTTGCCGACTTATACCATAAAAAAACTAGTGTTGGTAAACGTATTTTCTTTCAAATTATTGATTCTTAGGTAGAACGCAGGTTGCGGGGCAAGCGCGATGAGGCACCGCAGCCACGGGCTAAAGCAGGAGAAGGAACGGGGGGGTTTTTAGTCAGTAAGAGTCTAACACTCTCTCTCGCCTTACCCTGTGCGGGAGAAGTCATTTGATTTTCCCCGACAAAAATAAAAGTAGAACGCAGATACATATGCATATGCATATAGACATGCAGTCATTCATTTTTATAAAATTAAAAAGGGATATTCTGCCTGTGGACCATAGACAGAACTTGTGTTTTAACACCTAGTATTTTAATTTTTTTTTCTTTTTTTCTCCTGCAATGATTACCTTTCGCTTCCTATATTAACGTTTTTGTTGTAGTTTTAAGTTCATGTGTGTTTTTAGCAAAAATAAATGTTTTTTCTTTCTTTCTTTCTTTCATCTATATATCTATCCATTTGGTTACTGAACAAGGAAATCATTGTTATCAACAAGTACATACCCACTTGAACTAATCAATAAAATGATATCAGGAAACGAAATAATCGAGTTTTGAACTTGACCTTGAGTTCTATATGTCTTATTATTGGTAAAAGATCCACATTATATTACAGTCAGTCATTTATTTCAATCTAGCTACTCTCGCGCGGTTTCACTCGCTGCTCGGCTCCATTTGATCGTAGCGTGATGTTTTATAGCCTATAGCACTCAGGAACATTGTAGCTACCTATCAGTGAAAGAATTTTATATTACGGCTTCATTTGATTGTGTGTTTTATAGTCTATAGCACTCGGGAGCATTGTAGCTAATCAGTGAAAGAATTTTGGCAATCCGACCAGGCAGTGGTTCCAAAGATTACCCCCCTACATACAAACTTACAAACATACAAACTTACTTCCTCTTTATAATATTAGTATAGATAGATCACAATAGGCAGTTTTTGAACGACAAACAAAAAAAATACTTAATAGAATTGTAAACATTTTTAACAATTTTCGCTTGCTAAGAATTGTCGAATCCAGGTCTGACACTCCAAAGAGCCAATAGACCACCACAGACGGGGCCCTATAGGGCTGATGTTCAGCCGGGGTTGCGGGGTAAGCGCGATGAGTCACCGCGACCTCGGCCTAAAGCAGTAGAAGGAACAGGGGGGTTTTTAGTTAGTAAGAGTCTGACACTCTCTCTCGCCTCACACTGGACGAAAGAAGTCAACGGATGATTTTCCCCTCAAAAAAAAGTCTGACACTCCTCCTAAACCTAGGCTGGGTGATATCATTGGACGAATTGTCAACCTAGAAAAAATGAAAGTCTTTTTTGCCCCAACCGGGGTTGCGGGCGGAAAAACAGAGATGAAAGCCGGCCGGTTCGGAGCAGGATAAACGCATGCTACTTTCATACATCCCCCCATCTAACACGTATCTCCAACTAACTGGCTCTAACAAGGCAGATTTTCAGTTAGGGGTGCGGGTCAAGCGCAATGAGGTACTGCAGCCTCTACTTGGAGTTGAAGAAGGAACTTTTAGACCAGAGGACGTTAAAGCGTGAATTTTCTGGGAGAGAAAAAGGGAGGGTGCTCTATACATCGTTCATAGCTCCATCTCTCTTTCTCGCCCGGAAGATTCAACAAGCTTAAACACGTCATTTTAAACCTACTGAACATGTTTAGGTGTTCGTTTCAAAATATAGACCTTTTTTGGCATAATTAGGATGGCAAACGAGACGTATAATATCACCAAAAACTTCCCTCCTTACTTAGGGATTGATAAAGGAGAGGAATGGGCCTCCGGTAACCTCAATCACACGGCGAACCCCAACGCTCTGGTTATTTCGCGCCGGTTTTCTGTGAGACCGCAGTATTACTCCGGTCGAGCTGACCCATTCGCGCCGAAGCATGGCTTTTCTACACTCATTTTGAACTAGCTACTCCTTCGTGCTTTCACTTGCTGCTCGGCTTTATTAGATTGTGTGTTTTATAGCCTATAGCACTCGGGAACATTGTAGCTACCTATCAGTGAAAGAATTTTGGCAATCCGACCAGCGGTTCCAAAGATTACCCCCTACATACAAACTTACAAATTTTTCCTCTTTATAATATTAGTATAGACAGACAGGCTATCGCGTTTTTATAAATATTCATACACTGACGATTTTACCATTAAGCTACAAAAATACTAGGAATATTTTTTGTTTTTTTTTGGTAAAAGGTATTTCAGTAACCTAACCTTTCTTTTTCAGAGTAAAAGTCACGTTTGTTCTATACGACGGGAAGAAATTGGAAACGGAAGCTAAAGTTGGCGACACACTGTTGGATGTTGTCGTCAATAATGACCTGAATATTGAAGGTTACGGAGCGTGTGAAGGCACCCTTACATGTTCGACCTGCCACGTCGTTCTAAAGAAAGAGGATTATGATAGGTAAGGATGATTTTAAGAGTAGCGTTAGCGGCTGTTGGGTACTAATATCCTACTATCCTACCAATATCCTATATCCTACTAATATCCTGTATCCTACTTAATATCCTACTATCCTACTTAAGATCCTACTATCCTACCTAATATCCTACTATCCTACTAATATCCTACTATCCTACTAATATCCTACTATCCTACTTAATATAATACTATCCTACTTAATATCCTACTATCCTACTTAATATAATACTATCCAACTTAATATAATACTATCCTACTTAATATCCTACTATGCTACCAATATCCTACTATCCTACTAAATACCTACTATCCTACTTAATATTATAAATGTGAAACAATGTGTTTGTATTCCTGTTATTCCTTACTTGCTTCCGCCCGAGGCTTCGCCCGCGTGGTATGATGATAAAAAGTAGCCTATATGTTAATCCAGAGTATCACCTAACTCGAGACATGATCTCCGACCACCGTAAGCGCGGATCTGCAGACAGCGGTTAAGGATAGCTCGTCATCCGACCAGACTAGAGCATACGGTGCGTCACGATCCGCGCGCGCCTCACGGAGCCAATAGACCACCACAGATAAGGACACTAGGAGGGAGACGTCATTTTATGATTTTCCTCGCACAAATAAATAAATATTTATTGATAACTTTTTTTAAAAAAAGTTTATAATAAGCTACAGTTATTTCAATAGTTAACTTTTAGGTTTTTATAAAATGCAAGGTAATTAGAACGTTTACTAATATTTTTACAAAAAAGGGTATCACCTAATTTCATGTCAAATTTCAGTCAAATCAGTCCAGCCGTTTTTGCGTAAAAGTACAACAAACATACATACATACATTATTTATAATATTAGTAGAAAAAAACTACCTACAAATTAAAATGCAAGAAACAATATTTATACACATACCTACCTATATTTATATGTCACTATCGTCGAAAAAACAAATAAAATTATACATACATGCTTATCGAAAATAAGTCTGTCTGTTGTATACCTAATGTAGTTTTTTCGCTTCAAATCCAAAACACATTTCCGTTACATTCAGAAACTAAGATGAAAAAAAAAATGTTTCTTTTTGTGCGAATATTTTTGAATGAATTTTTTTCCGATTTTTGTACCTTATTTACATTTTATCAAATACGTCGATCGATTGGGAAGGCAATAGGCAACAGGGCTGATGTTTTTTAAACGTTGCCCTTCACTAGGATCATCTTTAATTTGTCATCCATGCATCCGGACATCCCGGCGTACGGCAAGTATCCACCCTTACGTTGTTGAGACACCTTCGACCCGGACTAAGCGTTTTGCCTCGTCATTTATACCGCGTACTTCGAGGGATTGGAACAGTTTGCCGGCTGCAGTCTTTCCGTCCAAATATAATTTAGGTGTCTTCAAGGCTAGAGTGAATAGGCTCTTAATAAACTAGTGCGCCTTACCATCAACGATTGCATCACTGCTTACCACCGGGTGGGATACAATGTCACATACATATCACACCCAGACTCATGGAACAACAATTTGTGGATCACACAAAGAGTTGTTCCGTGCGGGAATCGAAACTGCTATCTATACGTTGCACGGCAGCCAGTTGCTATCGCTGTTCATTGTTCAGCCGGAGTTGTCATCTATACTAATATAAACTAATATTATAAAGCTGTGGTTTGTTTGTTTGTTTGAACGCCATAATCTCGGGAACTTCTGTTTCGATGTGAATAATTTTGACTGCACGGTTGGTGAAATTGTTGGCGCGAATTGCGTCCCTCAGACCCTAAACAACGATTTGTGTACAATACCGGCACCGTATCTTGGCGAGTCTGAAGTTAGCCGATTAGCTGCGCAGTACTCAATTTTATTCCCAAAAGATCCATTGCGCAGACAAACGGCTCAGCCGTACTGTACTTGTGTCTGTGAATTTGTATGTTTGTAAACGCACCCACGACACACAAGACAATCGTTATGGAGGGCAAGGTTTTTTTTGTAATGTTTATGTTTGTTAGTCCATTTACCGAGGAAGGCTACAGGCTAGTAGCTAGGAACTAAAAATATAGGTAGCTAAAATTAATTTTTTTTTTCTTTTTTTGTTGCAGATTACCGGAGGAAGCTTGTGATGAAGAGAGAGATATGCTGGATCTGGCTTATGGTTTAACAGACACATCCAGACTCGGGTGCCAGATCACGTTAACTAAAGATCTGGACGGCTTAGAAGTCAAAGTACCAGAGACAATCAACGACGCGAGAAGTTGATGTACGCTGTCAGCTGTCAGCTGTCAAATAGTCTATGGAATGATGGTTTAGCGATTTTTTATTTAATTGGGATTTTTTATTTTGTTATTATTCTAAGTTGTGTCTTTTGTTTAAGATATACGATTGCCCCTAATTATAGTTTTTTTAAATTATTAGATGCGCCAATTGACGTGAATTTTGTTAGAGATTAAATTTTTGACAGCTAATATTGATAACACTAATAAAGCTTATGGTACACTAGCGACATCTAGAGTGAGCAATAAAACTATAGCCCTCAAATTATAGCACTAGTGACGACGATTTTTTCATGATACCTGGCAGAGCTTGGTTCTGCCCCAGTCTGTTACATAAAGTAACATAAATAAAGTTATATTTAAAATATATATTGTCATAGGTTATACATCAGTTTACCAAAATAAATGATTATACGGGGCCTTTAGTACGCATGGTGATAACTTTTAAAGTTATTACGAACAAAATGAATTATTTGAACGAAAAAAAATCGTTAAAATCTACCCTTCCTATAAGGACTAACGTTTTTGCCATCATCGGATAGCGTTGATGTAATATTAAATACAATTTTTCTACTGTCAAAATCATTGTTACAGTGTCAACTGTCAAAATTGACAGATACAAAGTATTGTAGAACAGCGCCATCTAGCGAGAGAAAAAAACGTTAGCCGTAATTAGAACTAAATGACGAATTATAGCTATACCGATGTACATTTTTGTTTTTATAACGTATTTATATATATTTTGGTTTTTTGTTTTTGAGATTCCCGGGGTCGGTGCTTAGATAGGATTAGCCTAGGTTACCTAGGATACCTAAACAGTATACAGCGATAAATATTACACATTCAACTTATAATTGGCCAAGTCTTCGCATATACTGCTCATGATAAAACTTGTAAGCATTCTTCTAAAATCATAAAAAAGATTGAATAAGATTTTTTTTAGTAATAAATAATAAGGGCCTTACAGAAAACTGACGTGAAATAACCACAGTGTTGTGTTTCGCTGTGTACCATCTATTCCCTCCCCCCATCCCACCCCAATGCTTAAATCTCCGACACCATAATCCCAAAAAGCCGGTAACGCATTCGTTACTGATCCCCCATCCCTCCGCAATTCCTAGGATCCAAGGGATTGAGTGTCCGGTAACCTCACTCACACGGCGAAACACAACGCTGTGGTTGTTTCACGCCGGTTTTCCGGTCGAGCCGATCCATTTGAACCGAAGCTTGGCTCTCCCACACTTAAAAATCTTAAAGATAAAAATTCAAAAAGAATGTCAATGTCAGAAGGTCTTCCAAAAAGTTGGATTTGCAATGTTTTCGCAAGTCACTGTGTAATTAGAATTAATTTTTGACATGTAAGTACCTCAATAGAATTTTTATAAAATTATTATATTATTATAATAAACATATGCAATAAAAATGTTATGAAAAATTTGTTGTGATGTTATTTTTTGAATATTTATTTTATTATCGGGGAATGAGGGTTTTGGATACTTTTTCTACCGCCAGGCGGCACTTCGCTTCGTATGCGTCAGGTCCAAACAGCTGTCAGATAGCACAGATTCTTACAGAACGTATTATTAATTTATTATTTTAGTAAAATTTTATGTATTTGGAAGTGTCACTGATTTTATTATGGCTTTATTATACACAAGCTACAAGCCACTGTTTTAATCGGCTTTTATCTTCTGTAGGGAACTTATGTCCTCCTTTTTTATTTGCACACAAAGGCACTGGCATTTTGGAAAACAATATTCCGTTTGTAACGTTTTTAAGAATAAATAAACCAAAAAAAATATTGAAAAATATAAATGGTGTGTGTTTTGACAGGTAGTTGGACCTGACGTTACAGTGCTGCCATCTCACGGGGGGAACATTTCAGAAAAGCCTCATTCTGCCGCTCTTGGTGGGCTGAGACTCTGACACTCCCTGTGTCAGACTCTTACTGACTAAAATCCACCCCGTTCCTTCTCCTTGCACCCTCAACCCAACATTAGTCCTGATGATTTTTCGCCCTTAAAAAGAGCTTTTCTACGGTGCATAAGAAGTCTTACTAGGTACAATCATCATGCTAAACAGGGAGGTTAAAGATAGTAATTTTAAAGTGTCAAGTATATCAGAGAGCGATGCTGCCTGGTCTCTCAACGTTATGTTAATTTTTTCCATGGGTTATGTTGGCAAACGAGCAGACGGATTACCTGACAGTAAGTATGACAAACGCAACACCAGAGACCAGAGGACTTACGAGTCACTTACCACACCTGCCTTTTGGGAGTTAGTGTGGGAGAGCCAAGCTTCGGCATGAATGGGACGGCTCGACCGGAATGGTACCACGGCCTCACAGAATACCGGCGTGGAACAACCAAAGCGTTGTGTTTCGTCGTGTCAGTGAGGTTACCGGAGGCCCAATCCCTTCCCTTTCCCTATCTCTTCCCGATCCTTATATCCGCAACCCCTATCCCCAAAAGGCCGGAACGCATTCTTAACTCTTTTGGTGTTGCGGGTGTCCAGGTAAGCAATCGGTGTATCTTTTTGAGTATAAAGATTGAGGGGATTTAGGGATTGGGGGAAGGAAGAGATTGGGCGTCTGGTAAACATGGTCCACACGGCAAAACACAACGCTGTGGTTGTTTCACGCCGGTTTTCTGTGAAGCCGATTTACCAAAGCACGGCTCTTCTGAACGTTATTTACAAATATTGGAGCACGAATGATCGTTTACTTTCCAATTTTGTAGTTTAATTATCAATTAGTTATGACAAAAATAGAAATTTTTAATTCATGATACTTATTACAAAGAACATGCGAGCCGTAAAGAACGATATTTTGAATATGAAAATAATTGAAATTGCGAATATTGTTGGTTAGAAAAGCTTAAATGCACCTACGTCAATCGGGTTAACTTAAAAAAATAAAGTAAATGAAACATTAAGTAAGAGGTTTTCTTGCCGATCTAAATGTTCTCCGGCCTTTTTTCTGTTGAGCTTTCGGCTCAGTGATATATCTCATTCCTTTTTCGTCAAATAGATCGTCGATATTGTAACCCCCAGTGTTTTGGGCAGACTTTGGACGCGTCAACATTATAATAGGTATATTTTTGTATTGAGCTGTTCTTATTTGTATATTATTGAGGTTCTCATAAGATAAGTAATATTGATTTTTGTTTGAAATTGGCAATTCGTAGCTGTTAACAATGTTGTTTTGTAATCGGGCTGGTGAAGCTGGAAGGAAAATGATATCTTCTTAGTTTTTGCTTGTTTTTAAATGAAGGATCGGCCTTTTTTTTAAAAGGAAAATCATCAAATGATTCTGACTGACATCTCTTGAACAAGAGAAGTCATTTGATGATTTTCCTGCTGCTGGTTGAGGCGAGATGGAGTGTCAGAATTGTGCTGACTAACCGCAGCCTCGGCTAAGCATCTGTCCTGTCCTTCGGCAACCTCACTTGTACGGTGAAACATAACGCTGTGGTAGTTTTACGAGGCTGTGGTATCACTAGGGTCGAGCTGGCGCATTCTCCAGGGTTAGGCGAGAGAGAGTGGCAGACTCGTACTGACTAAAAACCCTTACGATCCTTATCTCTCTTTGAGGTGGGTGCGGAATGCTATGTTTCGGTCGGTCTGGTTCTGGTGGGGGGGGGGGGGGGGGGGGGCAAGCATAGCTCTCCCACACAAGTGGATCCAATTCAAGTCCAGTCCTCAGATCCCTGACACACAGTTAGCCGGGAACACACACATGGGCTGCTCCGACTGCTTACCATCAGGTAATCGGTCCTTTCGTTTGCGACCACATCCCATAAAAACATAGAAAGACAGACAGACAGATATTATATGGGAGAACCATAGTTAGAAATGTGCCGACTCGACCGGAGTCATACCACGACCTCACAGAAAACCGGCGTTAAGCAAAACTTACTTTGCGTTTCGCCGTGTGAGTGAGGTTACCGGAGCCCCAATCCGTGCCCACATACTCATCTCTTAAATCCCCCATAACCCACAAGAGACCCGCAATACACTTGTATTAACAACTCCTTTGGTATTACGACTGTCCATGGTCGGCGCTAATTGCTTACCATCAGGTAATCCGTCTGCTGGTTTGCCGACCATAGTTTTTGTAGCAGGTTCCGATATAGGACCAAGAAATGGGTGAATTAGGTAAAAAGCATTAATAATGTCCAAGATATTAGTTAAAAAATATCTTACCTAACTCGAAAACTATGAAAACGCAAAAAAATATAAATTTCTTCATACCTAACTAACTATTGAAAAAATATTACCTACAATGTGTAAAGAATATCTAAATAACGACGAAAATGCACTGCCATTTCATTGTCAAATTGATTTGAGTATAAAATGAATGAATTATTGATTTTATATCAAGCGGATAATTGAAATGCATAGATGTAGAATTGTCGTGGTGGCCGGAGGTTAAGGCGCCCGCTTCACATGCATGACGAGCGGGTTCTAAACGTGACAAGTACTTTCTATGATTATTTAGAAACCACTGACATACGGTGAAGGAAAACATCGTGAGGAAACCTGGACTTATAAGTTTGAAATCGCCAATTGATTGACTGCACGGTTGGCGCGGTGGCTGGGCAACTGGCTGCCGTGCAACGTGTCGCGGGTTCGAACCCCGCACGCAACAACTCTTTGTGTGATCCACAAATTGTTGTTCCGGGTCTGAGTGTGATGTGTATGTGGATTTGTATGTTTGTAAACGCACCCACGACACAGGAGAAAATCCTAATGTGGGCAACGTTAAAAAAACCGCCTTGAGCAAGCGTGGTTATTACTGCTTAAACCTTGTCCGTGTGAGAAGAGGTCTTTGCTCAGCAGTGGGCACTTATAGGCTGATGATGTGATTTGTTTGTGTTTTCCTTAACTGTATGTCAGTGGTGTCTAAATAATCTAAGAATGTAAGTACATATTATAACTTGCCATACGAGTATTTATAAACCTTCGGGCCAGAACGATCTAACGAATAAATAATAATAATCAAATAGTATAAAGTAAGTGTGGGAGAGCCATGCTTCGGCACAAATGGGTCGGCTCGACCGGAGTGACACCACGGCCTAACAGAAAACCGGCGTAAAACAATCACAGCGTTATATTTCGCCGTGTGAATGAGGTTACCGTTGGCCCAATCTGTCCCCCTTCCAAAAGGTCGGCAATGCACTCATAACTTGGCCTTTCGCGGAGATGATTGCTTAGGTACCATCAGGTAATCCGCCAGGTCATTTGCGTCCTATCACTTAAAAAAATACCTACTAATATTTGTTCAAATAATTAGTGTCGTGGTGGCCCGGACGGTAAGGCACTCGCTTCTCATACATGAAGGTGCGGGTGTACGTACCAATGTGACTTTTCCGAGTTATATGTACTTTCTATGATTATTTAGACATCACTGACATACGGTGAAGGTAAACATCGAGAGGAAAACTGCACTTATAATTTCTAATTATAAGTTTGAAATCGCCAATCCACTTTGAGCAAGCGTGGTGGTCAATGCTCAAACCTTCTCCGTGTGAGAAGAGGCCTTTGCTTAGCAGTGGACACTGAAAGGCTGATGATGATGATGATGTTAAAATTATTACCGTAAGCATGCCGTCGGGAAGTTTTAGGTTTGAAATTGGATCGTGCTATCAACTTCTTGTTGAGTTGTTTGTTGATGATATCCATTGCTTTAAGTTTGTGTTTCTTCGCATTGAAGCGACGATCCGCTTTGTACTCCGTTGAATGACCCTGATATTCCCCAGGATCGACAACATACATATTCCATTTTTCGTCATAAAGCTTTTCGTAGTTTGGCGTATCCTTTCTTTTGATTGGCTTCGATCTGGTAAGGATATAAATTGGTATGTTACGCTCTTGCGATTTTCTCATGTACAGATTTTCGTTTCTTTTAGAATTTTCATAGCCAACTCTCGGTTTTAATGATTTTTCACCAAAATGTTTTATCATATTATGAACCTTGTGCGATCTTGGCAATAGAGATATGGCTTCCGATTTTGTTCGGAAAACTGTAATGTAAAGAATTGTTAAGGTTATTAATATATGTGTGGGAGAGTCATGCTTCGGCACGAATGGGTCGGCTCGACCGGAGTGATACCACGGCCTCACAGAAAACCGGCGTGAAACAACCACAGCGTTGTGTTTCGCCGTGTGAGTGAGGTTACCGGAGGCCCAATGCTTTCCCTTCCCGGACCCTTCCCCAATCCCTAAATCTCCAAATCCCTAATCCCTAAAAGGTCGGCAACGCACTCGTATCTCCTCCGTTGCGGCGGCACTGATTGCTGATCAGGTAATGTCTTTTAATGTCTACTCGTTTGCCGACTTATTACAGAAAGAAAAATAAAGAAATATAGGTATATACTTATATATTATGTTAAGTAAAGAAGTATTCAAGTGAATCGTGATCAAATTAATTTTCTGTAACTCTCTCGTTTGCACGGGTGCAAAGGTAACACTAAATTTCTCGCATTCGTAACTCCTTTTTCTGATATTGCTTACCATCAGGTAATCCGCATGATCGTTTGAGACCCATCGCTTAAAAATGTCTTTTAATGACTTTAAGTAAGTACCAAAAAAAACATGTGTGTCATTATGTGTACAATACCGCCGCCGTATCTTGGCGAGTCTGAAGTTAGCCAAGTAGCTGCGCAGTACACAATTTTGTTCCTAAAAGATCCATTGCGCAGACACACGGCTAACTTCAGACTCGCCAAAATACGTACGTCGGCCGTGTAGGTTCTGTATGCTTGGAAAACGGTCGGGGTTTTTAGCACCCAGTTGAGAAGTATCGCCGTGTAAGTGAGGTTACTTACAGGAGGTCCAATCCTTCCCTTCCTCCATCCCTTCCCAATCTTTATAAGTATATCCAAAACCCTATTTCCCAATCCTTCATTATATTGGCTAGTTTACCTATCCCTAAAAGGCCGGCAACGCACTCATAACTCCTTTGATTTTGCGGGTGTCCATGGGCGGCGCCGATTGCTTACCATCAGGTAATCCACTTGCTCGTTTGCCGACCCATCAAATAAAAAAGTCTTTTAACTTGGAAAACTGTCGGGGTGTTTTAGCACTCAATTGAGAAGTACCTATCGCCGTGTGAGTGATGTGTTTGGAAAACAAAACATTCCCCTCCCCCATCCCTACCCAATCCTTAAATATCCGTAACCATTATCCCCAAAATGCCGGCAACGCACTCGTAACTCCTTTGGTGTTGCGAGTGTCAATGGGCGGCGCTGATTGCTTACCATCAATACGTAGCTATAAAAAAAGCCAACAGACTTACCAGAATCATTTAATATTATAAAAATAAATATTAACAAAATTTCTCTCATTTTTTCTTTAGTTTTTTAGTAACAAACACAATACTTATCACAATTTATTTAAACATTATTTCGTCTGTTATTCTCAACAAATGTCAATGAAACATTAATGTCTATAAAGTTAAATGGCGCGAAATTGCTTTTCCTGCGTAACAAGAATATTTTAAAAACGTAACTGATTTTCGTATTGCTGTATTTTTATGTCATAGTTTGTAACACGTGCCGACGGATTACCTGATGGTAAGCAATCAGCGCCGCCCATGGACACTGGTAATACCAAAGGAGTTAGGTAGGTACTACAAGTGCGATGCCGGCCTCTTGTAGGTGATAGATGATTTGAGGATTAACAATGGGGAGGGGAAAGGATTGGGCCTCCGGAAACCTCACTTACATGGCGCATCACAACGTAAGTTTTGCTTCACAATTCTCCGCCACGTCAAATTAGTGCGTGGCGGAATGAGTTCCGGCGAGATCTCATGTCTGAGTAGAAGCAGCGACTGTCGCAACCGAGGGCCGGGCACGCTGTTATAGCAGCGGTAAGACCCCTCTTTGAGGAGTGGCTTGAGAGACGCCACGGCGTTCTCACCTTCCGTCTGACGCAGGTGCTTACCGGGCACGGCAGCTTCGGTAGGTTCCTGTTTCGGATCCAGCGGGAGGAAACGCCCGAGTGTCATCATTGTGAGGACCACCCAGAGGACATACGATGGCAGTGTGCCGTGCTTGGGCTGGGCACCACCATGCTCTCAGGAAAGTAATTGCACGGCCATGGCGCGGAGCGAGCGAGATTAACTGGGAAGCCATCTCTTCTTTCTGTGAAGCTGTTATGCTCTTAAGAAGGAAGTGGAACGCGTGAGGTAGCTATCCTCCTCACGGCGCAGTAGGCGACACTCCGGGCGTCGGGGATTGAGAGATGATCTCTGGCCTACGCGGACGACGAGTAAGGGTAGGCCAATCGGAACCAGACCTGACCGTACGGCCTGTAGCGTTCCACGCGCGCCTTAAATACCTAATAGACCACCACAATTGAGTGAGGCTCTTTCTGCCTTAAAATCCCCTCATTCCTTCACTTGCTCCAAGGCCGCGGTACCTAAATGCGCTTGCGTCGCAGCCCCAGCTAAACATCGGCCCTATTGGGCGCTTTGAGGCGCGCACGGAACGCTACACGCTGTACGCTCGGGTCTAGTTTTGGTCGGGCGGCGAGCTACCCTTAGTCGCCGTCCGCAGTCCCGCAGATACGGTGGCCTGATCATCGCTCGATCCCCGACGCCCTGAGCACAGTAAAAATATCATACAGTATTGTAACTCGGCCGCTTGAAAGAAATAAATACCTACAGCCGCGCGGTACGTAAACATGCGTTAGGGCTGCTCGTCTCCAGTATTTTAATTACCTTTGTCTACTTTCTGTGTCTGTAACACAGAACTACTGTGGGAGAATCGAGTCCGCGACACGTTGCACGGCATCTTGTTGCCCAGCCACCGCACCAACCGTGCAGTCAATGTGCTTGTATCTCCTTTAGTCGTGCGAGTGTCCATGGGCGACGCCGACTGCTTACCATCAGGTAATTTATATATCTGTCCGTTTGCCGAATACTGTAGTTTCCAACTAGTCAAATTCAAAACTTTTATCCAAATGTCAAAAACTACTTTTCTATGCAATTTATATGAAAAACTGAGTTATGACGTCATAGTTTTTTTGCGTCAAATAGCTTACTTATTTCTTAATAATTAGCTACAAAATATCTAAAACTTAGTGTATCGATCGATCGATGAATAAAAGTATAGTTATTTTTCAATATTTTATTGTACTGAAACGTCGAATTAATTAATTTTTGACCTAGGAAACTACCGAATAACACCAGAAATAAAAGTCATGTTATAAATGTATATTATTTTATTTCAACTGAATTAGTTTTTAAGACTGTGTACATAAACGTCTCCTCATGGAGTGATTAGCTAACAAATCTGACGGTAAAATGATATTAGTCACAACAAAATCTTACACAGAAAAGGCCTTTGGGCCCTTAAAAGAAACATCACAGACGGACCACCTGATCGGCGAGGCCAAAAGACCCTCTCAACACCAAAGGAGCCACAAATCACAAGTTTATCGCCTACAATTTGGCGATTGGAGATAAGGGGGAAACAGGGGTGAAAATCACAAATCGTTTTACCGTCACTCTTGGCAATATACATATAAACTTCTGCAAAAATATAAACAGTCACTATCGTTACATTTTATTTATATATTAAATATTAAATATGAAAAAAACATTGTATTTTTTTTTCTTCTAAAACCTTCACGCTATATGCTTATGATCAAAGGGCAGAAGTAAAAATTAATTTTTAAACAACGTTACCCCACACTAGGATTTTCTCCTATGTCGTGGGTGGGTTTACAAACATACAATGTCACATACACATCACGCCCAGACTCACGGAACAACAATTTGTGGATCACAGAGTTGTTTAAACCTTTGACTTTATTTCGGCATTTCTTCTCAGAGTAGTCAGATAGGAAATGTCGGCTTCATGTACATAGTTTTTTATTTATAATTTTGACGTGTAAAAGTCCTGTTTTAGGGCTTAATTATTTGCAAAAATAAATTCATTGTTACATTAGTGCATAGGAGGAACGGGGGGGTTTTAAGTCAGTAAGAGTCTGACACTCTCTCGCTTCACGTAGGACGCGAGAAGTCATTAAAAAAACCTAATACAATTTCCCAGCATTTCTTTATAAGAATAGAGTAACTAGCTGTTACCAAGGCAAAAAGCACCCGATAAATGAATCCAGATCACAATCTATACTAATATTATAAAGAGGTAAAATTTGTAAGTTTGTATGTAGGGGGTAATCTTTGGAACCGCTGGTTAGATTGCCAAAATTCTTTCACTGATAGATAGCTACAATGTTCCCGAGTGCTATAGGCTATAAAACATCACGCTACGCGCGCGAGAATAGCTAATAGCAAATAAAATCAAAATTCCTTCAGTAGTTTCTGAGTGAGAGAGTGACAAACATCCATCCGTACTTACAAACTCGCGTTTATAATATTTGTAAAATAACACTGCCCTTTGATCACACGTATACAGGCAAACCCCAAGAACAATTAATTAAATATTATAATTATATAATATAATAATCTATATACTACAAAATATTTCTATTTTACTATTGATATATAAAAAAACTTGCGGTGATAAATACTCGCTTCTTGCGCGCCTTATATACTTCTTTAAAGACTTTCACCCGGTTTCCGAAAGGCCGATCAATGTTACAATCAATTTAATCTCTTGTCAACTCATCTGATTGGTTGACTGAATTATCAACACCCAATCAGATGACTTGACAATAGATTTAACAGGAGATTAGTTAATTTTAGCGTTGACAAGCCTTTCAGAAACCGGGTGTTAGTTGATTTTAACATTGATCGGGCTTTCGGAAACCTCTACATTATTAAGGTTAATAATTAATAGCTTATGTTTGTATTGTCGACTGTAATTTATTAATTTACCGCGTCCCCGTTCAAGAGTAGGAGAAAGAACGGGGTGATTTTTAGTCAGTAAGAGTCTGACACTCTCTCTAAGAAGTCATTTATTAAAATTTCCCGCTACAAAGAAATACTATAATCTATCTTTGTGCCAAATTTCATTTAAATCCGTTCAGTAGTTTTGACGTGAAAGAGTAACAAACATGTATCCGTACTTACTTACTTTCGCGTTTATCAATATCATCAATATCAGCCTATAAGTGCCCACTGCTGAGCAAAGGCCTCTTCTCATACAGAGAAGGTTAGAGCATTAATCACCACGCTTGCTCAATGCGGGTTGGCGATTTTAAACTTATAATTAGAGTTTATAAGTCCAGTTTTCCTCACGATGTTTACCTTCACCGTATGTCAGTGGTGTCTAAATAATCATAGAAAGTACACATAACTTGGAAAAAGTCACATTGGTACTTGCCAGGTTTTGAAACCCACACGGGCCACTACGACATTCGCGTTTATAATACTACATAATAAAATAGTATTTAAATTCTTGATAACTATGGTCTAACGGTTTAGGTAATTAATGAATGTAAACAATGTTGGTATGTCTTTTTATATTAAAGAGCTCGTATAAAGTACATACAAAGATTATTTAAATTCAGTTTATTAGCTAACAACGATTTAGGTAAATAGCTGATTGTCAACATTTTTACAGACAATTTTTAGACAACTTTTAAGTATATAAAAAGACATGAATAGATTTTTTACATTGAGTTAATTACCATAATTAATAGACTATAGATATTATCAATACATTACTCGGCCTATCAAAATGGTAAATTTTCTAATGTATTGTTTTGTTTTTTATAATTATTTCTTGACGAGACATTAACTAGATAAAAACGAACATTGTATACTAGCGACCTCACACGGGAACAATGCTGATACTAAATTTCTCCACTATTTAATGGATGTTATTATACATATAAAACTTCCTCTTCAATCACTCTATCTATTAAAAAAACCGTATCAAAATCCGTTGCGAAGTTTTAAAGATTTAAGCGTACCTAGGGATATAGGGACAGAGAAAGTGCCTTTGTTTTATACTGTGTAGTGATAATATAAATATGAGGGTAAGGTAGGTAGGGTAGGTAGGGTAGGTAGGGCAGGTAGGGTAGGTAGGGTAGGTAGGTAGGGTAAAAAAAGAGAGGGAATGTATTATCAAGCAAAATCTACTAATATTATAAATGTCTAAAAGTATGTAAGTACGGATGTATGTTTGTTACTCTCTCACGTAAAAACTACTGAACGGATCGAATGTAATTTGGCACAGAGATAGATTATAGTCTGGAATAACATATTGTTTTCTTGTTCATTCGTTTTTTTATAATTTTTCTTCTCAAACCGATCGTTTTAAAACTTTTTTATATAATTTGGGAGCTATAGATATAACTTTAAAAAAATATATAAGGCACGCATAAAAAAACTATTTTAAACCAATAAATTCCTTATACCACGGTGTTAAAGTTGATTTTTCGTTTGTTTATCAATCTGTTGCTATGGTAACGGGGGGTAGCGAGGTTTTAATGGAATTTGAGCTCTAATGTAAGGCGGGTAGTGTATTGTCGTTCATCTGTCCGCTGTAGCGGCTTCAGCCTGCTTGCGCCTGTGAGTTTTACTGTCCAAATGTAACAGACATCCCACAGCACCAAAATATCTGTAAATAGTATAAAAAGATTTCTAACTCGATCATCATCATCATCAGCCTATAAATGCCCACTGCTGAGCAAAGGCATCTTCTCATACGGAGAAGGTTTGAGCATTAATCACCACGCTTGCTCAATGCCGGTTGGCGATTTCAAACTTATAATTAGAAATTATAAGTTCAGGTTTCCTGACGATGTTTACCTTCACCGTATGTCAGTGGTGTCTAAATAATCATAGAAAGTACATCTAACTCGATTATTCCCTGATAAATATAGGATGAATGATCGACTGATCCACCGGTTTAAAGTCGCGCAGCGAGCTATGGAAAGGGCTATGCTTGGAGTCTCTCTGAAGGATCGTATTCGAAACGAGGTGATCCGACAGAGAACTAAAGTTATCGACATAGCCCAAAGGATTAGCAAACTTAAGTGGCAATGGGCAGGTCACATCTGTCGAAGAACCGATGACCGCTGGGGTAAACGTGTTCTAGAGTGGAGACCACGTCTAGGCAAACGTAGTGTAGGGCGCCCTCCAGCTAGGTGGACTGACGATATCCGTAAGGCTGGCAGTGGTTGGAAAGTTGTTTATTATCATAAGTACAACCACGTGTTTAAATATCAATCAATAATTACCAGTCAACCTATAAAACTTAGGGCAGATTGTTCAATAGTCAGATAAATGTTATCTGAGGAATAAAATTGTTGCTGTCACTGTCTTATACAAACATTGTGACGCGACAGCATCATAATTATTCCCCAGGTAACTTTTATCTAACCATTGAAGAATCAGCCAGTCTCATAATCGGGTATATCATACCCACGGGAAGAGTTGAGCAAAATTTTTCTTACCCTTCGTGTTCGAGGAAAAGTGCTTTCAAAGCACCTCTGGACCAGTAGGACATGGCGTAAGACAGCAGCTTCATGGATAGCGGGTTCACTCTTAGGAAGTTGCCGCAGAACACCACCTGGGACGAAAGTCATAAAATTACTTCTTCAGCCGTTAAAAGCAAATCCTACTATAGTATTTGAGAGAAATCAACTCCAAACAAATTCTTGTAAACTCAAAAAGATTTATCTATACTAATATTAGAAAGCTGTAGAGTTTTTTTGTTTATTTGAACGCGCTTATCTCCAGAACTGCTGGTTCGAATTGAACAAATATTTTTGCGTTTGTTAGTCCATTTATCGAGGAAGGCTATAGGCCATAAAACATCACGCTACGATCTGTAGGAGCAGAGCAGCGAGTGTAACCGCGCGAGAGTAACTAGTGTTTGATGTGACTTAATGGTCACCTTAAAAAAAACTTACAATTCACTACATAGTATAAAACAAAGTCGCTTTGTCTGTCCCTATATCCCTATGTACGCTTAAATCTTTAAAACTACGCAACGGATTTTGATTGGATGAGGCCTCCGGTACATCACTCACACGGCGAAACACAACGCTGTGGTTGTTTCACGCCGGTTTTCTGTGAGGCCGTGGTATCACTCCGGTCGAACCGACCCATTCGTGCCGAAGCATGGCTCTCTCACACAGTTTAATAAGAGATCACTCACTCGAACTTAGTTTTATGTAACTTGTCCGTGAGTTTTGTGAATGAAAATGACAGTCGGGCCCCTATAGGGCTGATGTTCAGCCGGGGTTGCGGGGTAAGCGCAATAAGGCACCGCGACCTCGGCACAGAGCAGGAGAAGGAACAGGGGGGTTTTTAGTCAGTAAGAGTCTGACACTCTCTCTCGCCTCACCCTGGGCGGGAGAAGACAATTGATGATTTTCACTTGACAAAAAATAAATGAGTGCCTTACCCTCTCAATGCCCTCGTTAGAGGCGCAAAGCCTGGCGATGGATCCGATGTTGTTGGTGATGGTGACGACGGTGGCTCGAGCCAGGTCCGCGCGAGACACCTTCGCACGACGCTCTGCTGAACACATCTGTCCAAAACTGGAATCAAACATGGTCATTTATGAATAACTAGCTACTCCCGCGCGGTTTCACTCGCTGCTCGGCTCCACTTGATTGTAGCGTGATGTTTTATAGCACTCAGGAACATTGTAGCTATCTATCAGTGAAAGAATTTTGGCAATCCGACCAGCGGTTCCAAAGATTACCCCCTACATACAAACTTACAAATTTTACCTCTTTATAATATTAGTATAGACAAGCTTCCGCCCGCGTGGTACGTTGATAAAAAGAATAACCCCTCTGTGGTTCGAAACTAGTAGAGCTTTTCTCAACATTTACACGTGAGTAACCCGCGAATTTTAGTTAATTTGTAATTAATCTGTCTAATTATATAAATTAACTAGCTTCCGTCCGCGACTTCTCCTGCGTTGTATGTTGAAAAAAGCCTATGTCCTATTCCAGGGTGTATCCTATGCCTGTGCCAAATTTCATCCAGATCCGTCCAGCTGTTTTGGCGTCATTGTGTGACAAACATCTAACGCATTTGCAACTCTTTAGTGTTATGACCGTCTAAGAGCGTCATAGGCCCAATCCCTCCCCTTCCTTCTTGAAGGGGCCCTTCCAAATCCTTATTTTTTTTAAAAAAAAAACGTTGCCCCACTTTAGGATTTTTTCGTGTTTCGTGGGTGCGTTTACAAACATACAATTTCACATGCACATGACACCCAGACTCGGAACAACAATCTGTGGATCACACAAAGAGTTATTGCGCGCGGGAATCGAACCCGCGACACGTTGCACGACAGCCAGTTGCCCAGCCACCGCACCAATCGTGCAGTCAAGGAAAAAAATATCCAGAACCCTCATCCCGCACTTGTAACTCCTTTGGTGTTGCGGGTGTCCATGGGCGGCGCTGATTGCTTACCATCAGCCCACCGAACTGATTAGAAAGGAATGTACAAACCTGCTAGCAACCAAATCTCCGGGCAAGCCGAACCTGGCGTAATCTCCACCGTATATATCTCTGACGAGTTTGTCGACGGTCGTGTTGTCTCCGGAGGCGGCCAGGGCTATGGCCTCCTCAAAGCTACTGCATCCAGTCAGCAAGCAGCAGAGACCCAGGAATGTACCACCACCGAGACTGTGAAAGAAGAGTTTTTTTTTATGTAATATCATCGATCACTAATAAAGAACTGTAATATGTCGGCAAACGTGCTGACGGATTACCTGATGGTAAGCAATCAGCGCCGCCCATGGACATCCGCAACGGAGGAGTTACGAGTGCGTTGCCGATCTTTTAGGGATTAGGGATTTCGAGATTTAGGGATTGAGGAGGGATTGGGTGAAGGGAAGGATTGGGCCTCCGGTAACCTTACTCACACGGCGAAAGACAACGCTGTGATTATTTAACGCTGCTTGTGAGGCAGTGGTATCACTCCGGTCGAGCCGACCCATTCGTGCCGAAGCATGGCTCTCCCACACTTATATTATTATTTAGTATTTTTAGCATGAGTAAAGTAAGGGGGCGTCCATAAATTAGGTACGTGAGGTGTTTTTTTTTTAATTTTCTGCCCCTCTTTCCCCCCCTGGTGAGATGTCGTGAGATTTTATTCACCCCGTTCCCCAACCCCGAATATAACGTGAGATTTGTCAAAATGTGAGTTATTGTAAAAAGAAAAAACAAATTTGCATCATCTTTTTATTAGTTAATGATCTTAATCGTACTACGATTACGTTTTTTTTTTTGTGAGCGGAATATATAAATCATCAATTGACTTCTCCCGCCCAGGGCCGGGCAGGAGGGAGTGTCAGACTCTTACTGACTAGAAACCCCGCTGTTCCTTCTCCTGCTCTGTGCCGAGGTCGCGGTGCCTCATTGCGCTTACCCCGGCTACTACGATTACGTTTAAGATTAAATCTTAAACATCACACACACAATCTGGATTAAATAGACCGAAATTGTATAATTTTGTTTTTAAATTATTTATTATGTTTTCGGCTTACTCACGTAATAAATTGACGAGATACTCGACTAGTTATATAGATCGACTAGTTATATAGATAGTCTCGTCAATTTATTACGTGAGTAAGCCGAAAAGATAATAAATAATTTAGAAAGTTATAATAAAAATTTTGTTTTTGTTTCAATCAGAAAAACATGCGTGATATTTGCCGAGACCCCCTCTCTCCAACGTAAGATTAGATGAGATTTGACTCGACCCCCTCTCCCCCTTAAACACCTCACGTAATTTATGGACGCCCGGTAAGAAGGTGTACAAGTGTAGGTTACAAGCGCTCAGCGAGTGATACATTAAAATGTGGCTAACTAGCCACACTTTTTCATATTTGTCTCTTTTTCACTCGCGATTATTGAATCATGCCATCCCACATTAACGTGTACTATACGATTTATACATGTGTGCATAAGTGTGCCGTTTTTGAAAATCGAATGTTGTTTATGTAACCTATCTATACCAATGACGTATTATATATAGACACGTCATGAACCAACATCGCGGCGCTTAAAAACGGCGAAAATACTAGATAACTACTTCTACGAGTAAAGAAAGGGAAAGAAAATATGACATCGTATAGTGGAATACCTTTGCTAGAGGGAGATAAATATACATCTTCAGTTACATCGGCACGTGACTATACCTTCATGCGCCGGCCGCCATAAGATGGCGGGCGCCGGCGTCGAAAAAATAAAATTAAAATAGGTTGTTTGGTGAACTTATGCATGAAATGACACATTTTTGTCTTTAACTTTTGGAGTATAATTTGTACATCGTCTGAACACACACGACGACATGCTTTCTTTATGTTTCGCAGAGGTTTACACACACGATATAAATTAAAAACAAACGTAGCGTCGCGCGGCAGGTTGGTGCGTAACTAAGCGCGATGTTGTCAATTGCCTTCATTTCATGTCGTCATTTTAGAGCGCGGACAATGTATCTAAAGTTTTATACATCATTGATCTATACCATTTTACTTATAATATTATTGATTTTTAGGGTATAACCTGGGTGTCTTCAAGGCCCGAGTGAATAGGTTGCTTATGGGTAGACGTGCTCCATCGTAGGTCGCATCATCCCTTACCACCAGGCGAGATAAAGGTCAAATTATGAGACAGCCATGCTTCGGCACGAATGGGTCGGCTTAGCCGGAGTGATACCACGGCCTCACGGAAAATTGGCGTGAAACAACCACAGCGTTTCGTTTCGTCATGGGTATGAGGTTACGAGAGGCCCCATTCTCTCCCCCAATCTCAAAATCTCCAAACCCCCTTATCCCCAAAAGTTCGGTATCGCGGTATAACTCCTCTGTTGTGCGGGTATCTATGAGCGGCGCTGATTGCTTACCATCAGGTAATCTGTCTGCTCGATTGCCATTGCTATCACATAAAAAAAGAGTCCACGGCCTAAGATAGGGCTTCACCAAATTGCGATATAAGTACAACATTGCCAATTAATTTACTTCAAAACTTTCCGAAGTATTTGATGTGATTAATCATCGTCATCATCATGGGTGTGATACCCACGTGAAGAATAACGGTAGCAAATAATTGTCACTGGAAGCAATGACGATTGACGATTCTGATGATGAACTCACCTAGTACCACTGACGCGATAGTAATCATCGGGCGCGTTGACGACCAGCACGGAGACCCCGCTGCCAATGTTCACCAGTAGGAACGGGTAGGGGCTGGAGAAGTCGAAGGGTTTCCTCACGTAAAGACTTAGAGCCGCTTCCGAATACGGCGGCTGCAAGAGAAAGGAGATTCATTCAAGTCATGTATCTATACTAATATTATAAAGAGGTAAAATTTGTAAGTTTGTATGTAGGGGGTAATCTTTGGAACCGCTGGTCGGATTGCCAAAAGTTCTTTCACTGATAGATAGCTACAATGTTCCTGAGCGCTATAGGCTATAAAACATCACGCTACGATTAAATGGAGCCGAGCAGCGGGTGAAACAGAGAGTAGCTAGAAAAATTATAAAATAACTTAGGACTGATTTTTCAATGGTTAGATAAAAGTTAGCTAGGGAATAATTATGTTGCTGTCGCGTCACAATGTTTGTATAAGACAGTGACAGCAACAATTTTATTTCTCAGATAACATTTATCTGACTATTGAAAAATCAGGCCTTAAAAGAACGAGAGACGATCTCCGGCCACTGTAAGCACGGGTCTGCGGTCGGCGAGTAAGGGCAGCTCGCCGCCCGACCAGAACCAGGCCCGAGCGTACGGCGCGTAGCGTTCCGCGCGCGCCTCAAAGACCCAATAGACCACCACAGACGGGGCCCTAAAAGGCTGATGTTCAGCCGGGGTTGCGGGGTAAGCGCAATGAGGCACCGCGACCTTGACCCAGAGCAGGAGAAGGGACGGGTGGTTTTTAGTCAGTAAGAGTCTGACTCTCTCTCTAACCCTGGGCGGTAGAAGACATTTGATGATTTTCCCATCACAAAAAAAGGCCTAAAAAGTCTATTTACCGAGTCAGTAACATGTGTGTGGACGGCTTGCTCGTCCGGCGGCGCCCAGTAATAACATTCCTGTGCATTCATACAGTCTACGAACAGGACGCCGGCTATCAAAGCGTCTAATTCGTCCATTTTCGATAGCCGCATATTTACTTCCTGCAAAAAGAATAAAATATCTTTAAAATACAGTAGTTTCCTAGGTCAAAAATAAATTGATTCGACGTTTCAATACAATAAAATATTGAAAAATAACTATACTTTCATTCAGCGATTGATCGATACACTAAATTATCGATATTTTTAGATATTTATTAAGAAATAACTACCTGAGCTATTTGACGCTATGGAGTTGGAGGACTATGGAGTTTCATACAAATTTCATAGAAAAGTATTATTTTTGTCATTTTGATATAAGTATTAAACTAGAATAATTGGAAATTCAAATTCAAATTCCTTGAGTATACATTTGTAAACTACACTTACCCACGGTTTCCGAAAGGCCGATCAATGTTAAAATCAATTTAATCTCTTGTCAAGTCATCTGATTATCAATAACAATCAGATGACTTGACAAGAGACTTGACACCTAGTTTGATCGGAAAAGGGGCATTACTCTTCACGTGGGAATTACATAAACACCCATAGATTTTACAAATAGCTGTGATTCTTTCACCGCAATTTTCGCCATGTTAGCCTGGAATGGGAGTGATACAACGGCCTCACAAAAAAAACCGGCGTGAAACAACCACAGCGTTGTGTTTCGCCGTGTAAGTGAGGTTACCGGAGGCCGAATCCTTCCCCTGCCCCAATCCCTAAATCTCCAAATCCCTAATCCCTAAAAGGTCGACAACGCACTCGTAACTCCTCCGTTGCGGGTGTCCATGGGCGGCGCCGATTGCTTGCCATCAGGTAATCCGTATGCTCGTTTGCCGATCTATTAAATAATAATATTTCCATATTATTAAATTAGTTATTATATTAAATAATAGTATTTCCATAGTTTTCATCCACTAGTGCATAACAACCCATACCTATAACCCTATCAATTTTTACCACATTTCACAACAGTCCTGCATCAACCGGGGATTGTCCTTGGGTGCACTTTCATAGTGCATACAGGGATAATTGCCGGCTGATGTCCCATTTCACTTTTATTAAAGTTGTTCAACGGGCCTCTGCCAGTTGGCTTCGGCCCCTCGTACGCCTTCCAAAGGTCCGGGACCCTGTGATCCCGTGAAAGGAAACGAACAAACATAGGATGGGGTATCGAGTAACTTGGAGATCTAATGATAAAACTTTTTCGTACCTTTATAAAATCCTCCTCAAACTTGTAAGCGCCGCCGCCGGTGGCATATATGGTGTTGACCAGGTCAGCCATGCCTTTGGACCTGGCCAGCTGCAGGAACGCCCCGACTTCGGAAGTCGGGAACCTGATGAAGTGAAGGGTGCCGCGTCTACCGCGAATCGTCACGTTGTCCATCTACGAAAAGTATAATTAATCTATACTATAATATTATAAAGAGGTAAAATTTTTATGTTTGTATGTAGGGGATAATCTTTGGAACCGCTGGTCGGATTGCCAAAATTCTTTCATTGATAGATAGCTACAATGTTCCTGAGTGCTATAGGCTATAAAATATCACGCTACTTAGGATTATTACGTGTTATCTCGACTAATTTCGGAAATACCCAGAGTCTATACTCAATTTTACTCGAAACTTGTCGGGCATTCGCGTAAAATGATGATTTACATTTATAGGCATATATTTATTATTTTGCATTTCTGCTTATAATAGCAGAAGAAAGTTGAACCAAATAATCACTACATAGTATAAAACAAAGTCGCTTTCTCTGCCCCTATATCCCTATGTACGCTTAAATCTTTAAAACTACGCAACGGATTTTGATGCGGTTTTTAATAGAGAGAGTGATTGAAGAGGAAGGTTTATATGTATGTGTATGTATCAGTATTGCACCCGTGCAAAGCTGGACGGATCGCTAGTTTTTGTTATATTTTACCTGTAAATGGACGTCTCGTCTTCCGGTCTTTCCATATGCTGAATTCCTGGTTAGATATCGTCTAATGTTCTTAAGAACTTCTGTCTCCTTGTCCAGTTCACGTCTATTCGTCTCACGGGGCTCGAAGTAGACCAGCTTTGTTAGGGTACCACCGATGTCCATGCCAAACCATGGCATCGCTGCGGGAAAAGACCAAATATTTTTAGTAGACCGGACAATTTTGACACTACTTGAAAATATGTACATGTTAATTTGAGTAGACTCTTACTGACTAAAATCCATCCCGTCCCAGGGTTGCTAGTAGCCGAGGGAACTATCCTCCTCGCGCCCCAGCCGCCGAAGTAGGCGACATTCCGGGTATCGGGGATCGAGATATGAGCGAGTAAGGGTAGCTCGCCGCCCGACCAGAACCAGACCCGAGCGTACGAGCCAAAGCCAAGTAAGAGCCAATAGACCACCACGGACGGGGCCCTATAGGACTGATGTTCAGCCGGGGTTGCGGGGTAAGCGCAATGAGGCACCGTGGCCTCGGCCCAGAGCAGGAGAAGGAACCTCAACCTCACCAAGTCTGAAGATTCTCCTTTTCCGATTTCAGGAAACGTATTTTGAGTGAGGAATGTCACCCTTCTCCCGCCCCAAATGGGGCGAAAGCGAATGTCAGACTCTTACTGACTAAAAACCATCCCATTCCTTCTCCTGCTCATGGCTGAGGCTGCGGTACATTATTGTGCTTACACCTACAACCACGGTTTACTCTCAATTCCCTCAAAAAACGGCAAATTGTATGAAGATCTCGGTTGAGTTTTTTTATGAGGGCGGAAAATTTCAAATTACTTCTCATTTCTTCCACGACGGTGGGGCTAGAGTGTCAGACTCTTACTGACTAAAAACCACCCCGTTCCTTCTCCTCCGTTTAGACCCGCAACCCCAACTCTCTCTCTCTCCCAAAGAAACTTTTGCGTATTCGTTAAATTTTGCCAAATTTTATGCAGATCTTAATTTTAATTAACTGAAACGAGTAACCATGGAGTTTCTTGTTCGTTCTTCTCCATAGGAATCTACACTTTGGAACTAGCAAATAGCCTCACCAGAGGACTGATCGACATACTTATTGATATTTATTTATCGTTTGACGATCAAAAGTGCCTATAGTGGCCTATCTATACTAATATCATAAAGCTGAAGAGTTTGAACCTCTGAATCTCCGAAACTACTGGTTTGATTTAAATAATATTTTTGTGTTCTTTAGCCAACTTAATGAGGAAGGCTTTTTGTCACGGGAATATCATCAATTGACGTCTCCTGTCCATGGTAAGGCGAGAGAGAGGGTCAGACTTTAACTGACTAATCCCCCTACCCCGTTCAGGAAAGCCATAGGCTATAAGATTTTATGCAAAAGATCTATAAGAGCCGAGCAGCGAGTGAAAACATGCGAAAGTGGCTAGTTTGAAATACATGTGCCTTTGACTGTTTTGAACTGGTCAATATCTACAGTAGATCAGCAAACACTTACGAGGAGCTTCGTTATCTGGTGGAGTGGGTGGCGTCTCCATCTTGATGCAGTTCTCCTTGCTCATAGTCTGCGTGTATGGACCACGTCTCGCCCTCTGAAGTGCTTTGGTCCTGTAAAGAATGAGGTAGCAAGGTCATTTTACAGGTCAAATCTGCTGGGGCTTTCTTCGGAGTGCAATTGTGAAGTTATTTTGTATCTTGGAACAGTTTTTTTATATGATAGAACGGCAAACGATCTGACGGATTACCTGATGGTAAGCAATCGGCGCCGCCGATGGACACCCGCAACAAAAAAGGAGTTACGAGTTGTTTTTGGCAGTCTTGGGGATTAGGGTTTCACACATTATTAAAGGATTGGGGAAGGATGGTGCACATTGACACGCGGTTTGTCTGATAGGTCAGCAAACGATCTGACGGATTACCTGATGGTAAGCAATCGGCGCCGCCCATGGACACCCATGGCAACAAAAAAGGAGGAGAAAGATCGCGAACAACAACACGTGTTGTTGTTCGCGATCTTTTGGGGAATAGGGTTTCAGATATTATTAAGGGATTGGGGAAGGATGGGACACACTGACACGCGGTGAAAAAAAACATCGTGAGGAAACCTGGTTTGAAATCGCCAATGCGACTTGAGCGAACGCGGTGGTTAAAATGCTCAAACCTACTTAATGTGAGAAGAGACCTTTGCTCATCAATGGGCACTTTTAGGCTGATAATTCGGTGTGGGTAGGAGACTGATACGGTCACATTACGATGAAAGCAACATAAGTGGAAGTCATGCTTCGGCACGAATGGGTCGGCTCGACCGGAGTGATACTACGGCCACAGAAAAAAACCGGCGTGAAACAACCACAGCGTTGTGTTTCGCCGTGTGATTGAGGTTACCAGAGCCTACCCCCAATCCTCAAACCCCCTATCCTTAAATCCCTAATAACCTACAAAAGATCGGCAACGCACTCGTAACTACTCCGTTATTGCCAACCTGCCTCCGTTGGTGTCAATGGGCAATTGCTTACAATTAGGTAATATTAAACATCATCAGCCTATAAGTGCCCACTGCTGAGCAAAGGCCTCTTCTCACACGGATAAGGTTTGAGCATTAACCACCACGCTTGCTCAATGCGGGTTGGCGATTTCAAACTTATAATTAGAAATTATAAGTCAAGGTTTCCTCACGATGTTTACCTTCACCGTATGTCAGTGGTGTCTAAATAATCATAGAAAGTACACATAACTCGGAAAAAGTCACATTGGTATTTGCCAGGTTGCGAACCCACACCGTCATGCATGAGAAGCGGGCTGCTTAACCTCCGGGCCATCACGACGTTAATGGTAATATTAATGAGGCTTACAATATTATAAGTGCGAAAGTAACTCTGTCTGTCAAATTTGGTACAGACTCAAGAAAGGACATAGGATAGTTTTTAAAGCAAAAATCTGCAGGAAGTCACTAATTTACGCGAACAAAGTCGCATTAGCAGGGCAAAAGCTAGTCTATACTAATATAATTAAGAGGTATTTGTAAGTTTGTATGTAGGGGACAATATTGAGAACCGCTGGTCGGATTCCCAAAATTCTTTCACTGATAGATAGCTACAATGTTCCTGAGTGCTATAGGCTATAAAAAATCACGCTACGATTAAATGGAGCCAAGCAGCGGGTGAAACCGCACGGGAGTAGCTAGTAGGTCATAAAAATATTGTGGTCACCTGGCTATGGTCCTAGGTACAGTAGAGAGCGGCGTGACGCGCCGCTGTCGGCCGCACGCCGCGAGACACCCCTCACACCGGTGCAGTCGCATCTGTAATAGAAAAAGAAAACATATATTTTTTACTTTGAAAACTGCAATCCTTTTGGTTTTTTATTTGAGAATGTTGCGGAAAACTTGGGTAGTTTCCTAGGTCAAAAATAAATTAATTCGACGTTTCAATACAATAATAAAATATTGAAAAATAACTATACTTTTATTCATCGATCGATCGATACACTAAGGTTTAGCTAATATTTTTAGCTAATTATTAAGAAATAAGTAAGCTATTTGACGAAAAATACTATGACGTTATACCTAACTCAGTGTTTCATACAAATTTCATAGAAAAGTATAGTTTTTGACATTTGAATTATGATGAACTAAAAGGTTTTGCTGATTTGTCCGACGAGCAATCATCATCTTCCTGCCCTTGTCCCGTTTTATTTGAGGTCGGCGCAACATGTTTTTTTCTTCCATTCTGTCCTGTCACTCGTCACGCTATCGCTAACTCCTCTGTCTTCCATATCACTTCTCACACAATCCATCCATATTTTCTTTGGTCTCCCCCTCCCTCTCCATCCATCCACATTTATACAGCAATACCGATCAAAATAACATTTTCATATATTTCATATTTATTTATTTGCATACCATAATGTTACAAAGATGTTAAGAGCTTAAATCTAGGTACATATTATGGACCCTGATAGCAAAAGAAGGTATACATAAGCTTAGTAACACTACATATAATTACCTAGGTACAATAATAGGTATTTATATCTAATTATTTATATATAAGTAGTATTAATTAATAATTAGACTATCTTTTTTTTTTGGGAGGGTCGCACGAGTATTCGAACTGTCAGAACTGTAACCCTTGTTATACATTTTTATAGAGCTGTGCCATTAGAACAAAAGAATGACACTTCTACACTAATAAAAACATTACCTTATTATTGACAGAATCAGACATGACAATCAGTCCAGCAGTTTCCGAGTTAAACACAACACGATATATTAAAACTTAAAGAATTGAGCTAATGTTCATATTAAAACCACAAGTTATTATATGAGAAAACACACTCAACACAGCTAAAACAGACTCAAAATGGCGTTATATCAACGAAAAACTTTGTCGAACTGCGTCGTACGATTTATATATTAATACTGTTGCTTATTGGTATATAAGAATGAATATATAAGACAGATTAGATATAAAAAAAATACATGGTCATGTACACATATGTAGATGTAGTTATCTGAATTATCAATATTGGTTGTTTTATTAATAAAAAAAAACTTGTTTGTTTGTGTTTTAATTTTTATTACAAAACTGACGAAACATTTTTGATTCTATTTTTACATTTTTACAAGTTTGGATTTGTTGATTCGGTAAATATAATTTTATTATTCTTGTTAGAAATCATCGTCCGATCAAAGTCGAGGAGTCAACTTCAAGGTCAAAATCAAGGTCAAAAACATACATTTTAACTTAACCAGAACCAGAAGTTTTTTTTTATGTAATAGGTCGACAGACGAGCATACAGATTACCTGATGGTAAGCAATCAGCGACTCCCATGGACACCCGCAACGGAGAAGTAGTTAACGAGTGCGTTGCCGACCTTTTAGGGATTAGGGTTTTGGAGGTTCAGGGATTGGGGAGGGATTGGGGGAGGGTAACGATTGGGCCTCTGGAAACCTCACTCACACGGCGTAACGAAACGCTGTGGTTGTTTCACGATATCTCTCTCACTCCGGTCGAGCCGGCTCATTCGTGACGAAGGCTCCCAGGCGGAGATCATTCGAGCTCTATATTACATACTAGCTACTCTCGCGCGGTTTCACCCGCTGTTCAGATCTTACAGGTAGCGTGATGTTTTATAGCCTATAGCACTCAGGAACATTGTAGCTATCTATCAGTGAAAGAATTTTGGCAATCCGACCAATGGTTCCAAAGATTACCCCCTACATACAAACTTACAAATTTTACCTCTTTATAATATTAGTACCTATAGAAGTATAGAAAAACCAAACAATCAAAGAAAACAAAGACAGCCCACAAACGAAATTGTTCACCATTATCTTTGAAGTTGATTAAAATATTTTTATTAAACCAGATATAAATTAATAATTGTGCGAATTATTTAGATAAGCATACTGTGTATCTACAGTTACATAATATTACCACGACCACGACTCATTCGTGATAGATAAGTGTGGGGGAGCCATGCTTTTTATTTATTTTTTATTTTTATTTAAAAACAAATGAAACCTTATTCCCTAAAAGACCGAGAGCCGAAGTTTGACAGTCCGAGTCGGATTCTCAAGATTTTGGCTAAAACAAGATACCTATTAGAAGAAATAATATTCTTTGTAATCGCGTTTGAAATGGTAATCCGACTAAAGGGGCGGGTCATTGATTTATTCAAATAAATACAGAATGGGTCCAGGGCAAGACCCCGTTACAAAATTCAATGAATAACAATCAGCTTTTCAATTAACAACTAATACGAAGTTTAAAATCATCAGCCTATAAGTGCCCACTGCTGAGCAAAGGCCTCTTCTCACACGGAAAAGGTTTGAGCATTAACCACCACGCTCGCTCAAGGCAGATTGGCAATTTCAAACTTATTTAATTAGACATCACATTTTTAAAAAAAAAGAATATCGGTGGAGTTTCTTGCTCGTTCTTCTCCATTCGAATCTACAATTTGGAACGAGCACCTAGCTTCACTGACGAACAGACTGACAGACTACTTTTCTATTTTGACGTTTCAAAAGTACCTATTTATGGCTTAGTTGGAATAAATGGTTTTGACTTTGACTTTGACATTATAAGTCCAGGTTTCCTCACGATGTTTGACTTTCCTGAATCAATGATGGCCGTGTGGTGATTGAAGAGTGAGACACACCTGTGACCTCCTGTTCTTATTTTAATACAGCACTAGCGGTCGCCCGCGTTGAGTTTTAACATTAATATACAACGAGTTGAGTTTTAACATTTAACATTACAAAGTGGCATTGATTTATATAAAAATATTTTTATAGAAATTATGGTTAATTTTTATTAACATTCTAGTGACCGCGCACGGGTGCAATACTGATACTCAACTCCACTATTTAATGGATGTTATTATACATATAAACCTTCCTCTTCAATCACTCTATCTATAAAAAAACCGCATCAAAATCCGTTGCGTAGTTTTAAAGATTTAAGCGTACATAGGGATATAGGGACAGAGAAAGCGATTTTGTTTTATACTATGTAATGATGTAGATAGAAATATAGATGGATGTATATTGTGAATTTATCTTTGACATACATTTTGAAATTTTGAACGATACGGGACTATCAGATATGAATCTTTAACTAAAGTTTATCTTACTCTCTCAGTTAAAATAAACTGTATCTATATCAGTTTATTTTGGTTAACCGCGCCTATGTATGCACTAGTATAAATACCACAGATAGTTCAATGATAAACTGAACCGAGTTCTTTCTTTGAGTAGAAAATCATACAATTACTTTTGCCGCCCTAACACCCGGTTTCTGAAAGGCTTGTTAACGCTAAAATTAACTAATCTCCTGTTAAATCTCTTGTCAAGTCATCTGATTGGTTGTTGATAATTCAGTCAACCAATCAGATGACTTGACAAGAGATTAAATTGATTTTAACATTAATCGGGCTTTCGGCAACCGGGTGTAAGTCTTTTTTATGGGATTCGTCGTACGCCTCCTTACGCCCAAGCCGCTGCAGTAGGCGATACTCCGGGCGTCGGGGATCGAGAGATGATCTCCGGCCACCATAAGCGGGTCTGCGGACGGCGAGTAATGGTCCTATGACACAGACCGGCTCGGAGAGGAGAGCAGATTCTTATATCGTTGAAAACAGAGACTTTAGTATTTGTAGTAAGGTTTATTTTTGCATCTGCACTGTTTATGTCATTAGGAACGCTTGGTGTGAAATAATATGAGGAGCTGTCCGGTTCCGATCGCGTTTTTTTTTATGGTGTAAGTCGGCAAACGAGCAGACGGATTATCTGATGGTAAGCAATCAGCGCCGCCCATGGACACCCACAACACCAAAGGAGTTACGAATGCGTTGCCGGCCTTTTGGGGATAGGGGTTGCGGATATAATGATCGGGAAGGGATAGGGGAAGGGGCGGGATTGGGCCCCCGGTAACCTCAATCACACGGCGAAACACAATGTTGTGGTTGTTTCACGCCGGTATTCTGTGAGGCCGTGGTATCACTCCGCTCGAGCCGACCCATTCGTGCCGTAGCTTGGCTCTCCCACACTTTTAAGGGCGATCCAGACCCGAGCGTAAGGCGCGTAGCGTTCCGCGCGCGCCTCAAAGAGCCAATAGACCGCTACAAACGGGCCCCTATAGGGCTGATGTTCAGCCGGGGTTGCGGGGCAAGCGCAATGAGTCACCACGGCCTCGGCCTAGAGCAGGAGAAGGAAAAGGGGGGTTTTTAGTCAGCAAGAGTCTCACCCTGGGCGGGAGAAGCCATTAGATGATTGACAAAAAATGGGGGACATTAGACATACAATGATTTAAGACTCAAATGATGAATGATAATGCAATGATTATCATCATAATGACACATGATGATAACGAATACTTATAAAACATTCCTAAACCGTGCCAAAAGTTATAAATGTATTACACGGATATTGAATTCGAATTATATAATGCACATATTTGGTTATTAATAAATGGCCAAGAGATTCCTAAATTCTTTGACATTATATACCAACCTTTTTGGCGGGAGAAGCCGTTTGATGATCCCACCTTCCCGCCAAAATGGTACGTACCTACATAATACATAAGAAGGCAAACGAGCAGGCGAATTACCTGATGGTAAGCAATCAGCGCCGCCCATGGACACTGCGAAAACGGTGCAGTAACGAATGCGTTGCAGACCTTTTGGGGATTTTGGAAGGATTGGGCCTTCGGTAACCTCACTCACACGGCGAAAAACAACGCTGTGGGTTGTTTCACGCCGTTTTTCTGTGAGGCCGTGGTATCACTCCGTTAGAGCCGAGCAATCCGTGGTAATGACCCGATTCAAAAAGATTTTGGTGTATAATTTATAGAGGTTTGCGTACGAAGTTGCGGGCAAGAAGCAGTAAAATATAGAATACTAGCTACTCTCGCGCGTTTTAACCCGCTGCTCGGCTCCATTTAATCGTAGCGTGATGTTTTATAGCCTATAGCACTCAGGAACATTGCAGCTATCTGTCAGTGAAAGAATTTTGGAAATCCGACCAGCGGTTCCAAAGATTACCCCCTACATACACGGGCACGCTACCATAGCAGCGGTAAGACCCCTCTTTGAGGAGTGGCTTGAGAGACGCCACGGCGTCCTCACCTTCCGTCTGACGCAGGTGCTTACCGGGCACGGCAGCTTCGGTAGGTTCCTGTTTCGGATTCAGCGGGAGGAAACGCCCGAGTGTCGTCATTGTGAGGACCACCTAGAGGATACGGTGGAGCATACGGTAGCGGTATGCCCTGCCTGGGCTGAGCACCGCCGTATCCTCAGGGAAGTGATCGGCGGCGGCGACCTCTCGCGCCCGGCCTTAGTCGAGGCCATGGTGCGGAGTGAGAGGAACTGGGACGCCGTCTCCTCCTTTTGTGAAGCAGTCATGCTCGCAAAGAGAGAGGCGGCCCGCGTGAGGGAGCAATCCTCCTCCTCACGCCCCAGCAGCCGCAACTGGCGACACTACGGGCGTCGGGGATCGAGGGACGATCTCCGGCCACCGTAAGTACGGGCCTGCGGTCGGCGAGTAAGGGCAGCTCGCCGCCCGACCAGAACCAGGCCCGAGCGTACGGCGCGTAGCGTTCCGCGCGCGCCTCAAAGAGCCAATAGACCACCACAGACGGGGCCCTAAAGGGCTGATGTTCAGCCGGGGTTGCGGGGTAAGCGCAATGAGGTACCGCGACCTCGGCACAGAGCAGGAGAAGGAACAGGGGGGTTTTTAGTCAGTAAGAGTCTGACACTCCCTCCTGCCCGGCCCTGGGCGGGAGAAGTCATTTGATGATTTTCCCCTCACAAAAAAAAAAAAAAAAAAAACCCCCTACATACAAACTTACAAATTTTACCTCTTTATAATATTAGTATAGATAGTATAGATAACAATTTTAATAGAAAAAGTCTAAACTCCGAGATTTTTTGACATTTCTTCACAGATTAATCAGATACAAAATGGCGACTTCATTTATATTTTTTTATATGTATAATGTCAAACGTGTAAATGTGCTGTTTTATGGCAAATTATAACAAAAAATTCACTGACACGTTATTTTAGGAAATGATTCAGTTACAATGAAAAATAATACGTAATCAAGTTCCAATTAGTGCTTACAGTGTGTGTTTATTTATCACTACACAGTATAAAACGAAGTCGCTTTCTCTGTCCCTATATCCCTATGTATGCTTAAATCTTTAAAACTACGCAACGGATTTTGATGCGGTTTTTTAATAGATAGAGTGATTGAAGAGGAAGGTTTATATGTATAATAACATCCACTATTTAAAGTGGAGAAATTTAGTATCAGCATTGCAGCCGTGCGAAGCCGGTGCAAGTGGCTAGTTTTTTATAAATATTTGTAAGCAGTTGCAAAGCAACTTCATTCAAAATTACGGACAATTTACGGATAACTTAAAAACCTTGTTAAGGAACACTACCTTTCTTCTTGCAATGCATAGTACCTAGTTATGTTAATATTTATATATTATATGTTATACTTTATTATATGTATATTATTTATGAAAAAAATGAAAAAAGCGTTTATTCATAATTACAGTAAATTTACAAAAAAAATATTACTTCTGCCAAACTGTAAAGCAGTTTGTTGGCAGATGTAGCTCCCTTATACATATAATTTTATTTAAATGTAATTATAGACATCTATTACCGCCAACCATCATCTAAACCACTAAACCATGAAGCGAATATATACCGTTAATTGTACATAAATGAACCATATGGTGATTGGAATAACCTTTACCATTTTTTTTTTCTATTGCTATGTACTTAATATGTATGTATACTTATAGGTTTTATTTTATTTCTGTTGCTCTAGTTTTAGTCTTAGGTAAAATTATTGTTTTGTTTGTTATTTCCTATTTCTCTTTTTCCTGTTGTTTTAGTTTATCACACAGTGTCTTATGTCTCTTACATTTTTCCTTTCGAAGGACTGCAGGAAGAGATTCCATATAGGAATATGCAGTACCTATGTACCTCTGTCTCTATATTTGTTCTCTATTTACTGTATGTGTGATGTGCATAAATAATAAATAAATAAATAAGTAAAATAGACAACAAGCGTACGTTATATTTCACATAAATTATTACAGAAAATAATAAATAACTGCTTTACATATAATTCGTATAAGGAAAACAACTACAAAAATTTATAAATTCAAAACTAATAAGTGTGGGAGAGCCATGCTTCGGCACGAATGGGTCGGCTCGACCGGAGTGATACCACGGCCTCACAGAAAACCGGCGTGAAACAACTACAGCGTTGTGTGAGTGAGGTAACCGTAGGACAAATCCTTCCCCTCCCCCAATCCCTCCTCAATCCTAAAATAATTAATAAGTACTACTTGTTTAGTAGGTGATTAATGTGAGGAAAAACATCGTGAGGCACTACACTTAAACTAGCTACTCGCGCGCGGTTTCACCCGCTGCTCAGGTCCATTTGATCTTAGCGTGATGTTTTATAGCCTATAGCACTCAGGAACATTGTAGCTATCTATCAATAAAAGAATTTTGGCAATCCTACCAGCGGTTTCAAAGATTACCCCCTACATACAAACTTACAAATTTTACCTCTTTATAATATTAGTATAGATTAAAAGTCTGAAACCCCAATCCGCCTTGAGCGAGCGTGGTGGTTAATGTTCAAACCTTATCCGTGTGAGAAGAGGTCTTTGGTCAGCAGTGGGCACTTAGTTGGCCATGTGCCTGACCTCTATCTTAGTTGCATAGCACAGCAAATACTTTACACTGCCGGAGATGCACATAATCCAAACTAAATTATAAACGCGAAAGTAACTCTGTCTGTCTGTCTCTTCTTCACGCTTAAACTACTGAACCTATCTGTGTGAAATTTTATACAGACATAGTTTGGAACTCGAGAAAGGACATGGGATAGTTTTTATATCAAAATATCTGCAGGAAGTCACGCATTACTTTTTATACGCGAACAAAAGCTAGTCATTTATATGGTGGTGGCCCGCAGGTTAAGGTGGCCTCATGCATGAGGGTGCTGTTTTAAAACCCGGCAAGTACCAATGTGACTTTTTCCGAGCTATATGTACTTTCTAAGATTATTTAGACTCAAACTCAAACCTTCTTTGTGTAAGAAGAGGCCTTTGCTCAGCAGTGGGCACTTATAGGCTGATGATGATGATGATGATCTAAGCATAATGATTCATAATATTTAGATAATAATGATGTTTTTATTTCGCATATTCTGTCAATTTCCAGTATGAATATTAATATTAAACAGCTGTTTTTCAGGACGGCAAACGACAGACGAATTACCTGATGGTAAGCAATCAGCGCCGCCCATGGACACAACACCCGAGAAGTTACAAGTTACAAGCCACGACCTAACTTCGATTACTTAGGTAAATACGAAAAACACAAAGAAAAAAAAAATACTTACTTGATGAATAGTTATAATCCCGGCTTGTTCAGGCATTTTGCAATTTAAATTAAATACAACTACACTATTACAATATTATATCACAGGTTGAATAAATAAAATCATAAATTTAAATTAAAAAAAAAATCACATCACTTGGTTATTCATCGTCTATATCTAATTCAAATAAATTTGCTATACCACTTAACAAACGCCTTAAAACGGAATCAACTATTGTATTTAAAAAAATACAATAATAAAATAATATCCACCAGAATTCGATTAAAATACGAAAATCTGTCGCGGACATCGGCACGTGCGAACGACGCGGCGGTCGCGCAACGAATGCCGTACGTAACGTTCGATATTTTGTATTTGGAATCGGCGCAGGAGTTGACATGTAAGGCTTAAAGCACACTGAAGACACGATATTATAAAATAAACAAATAAAATATTTACAATATATTGTAAAAAGGTAGATTACAAAACATATTTCATAAAAATCTAAAACATACAAAGTAATATATAAATTAAAAAGTAAGTATGTATTTAGAAAGATTTTTTATTAGACAAATAAATTTTAATACAAAGGCCTAAATTTTCAATAGAGATCAATTAATTTTCAGATTGATTTATCAAAAGTCAGATAAATGTTATCTGAGTTGTTGTTGCTGTCACTGTCTTATACAAACATTGTGACGCGACAGCATCATAATTATTCCCCAGGTAACTTTTATCTAACTATTGAAAAATTTGTCCTAAACCGAATTTATTTTGCCTTCATCAACGGTGCAAAGCCAAGATCGATTTACGAAAATCTCCACACTTGGCAATGAGATTAGAGATTACAGTTTCAAAGGTTCAATTTAATCAGCGAATGCTGCTGATCTCTTTGAAATGTGATCTCTTAAACCGTCGATGCGTCTCCTTGTTTGTCGACCTGCTGCATGATAGAGAAATAATCTACAGCTCCCGACCAGGGTGAGGCGAGAGAGTGTCAGACTCTTACGGCCTTATTACAAAACAAGGTTTTACTTTAGTCTAGGACTAAACCATTGAGCCAGTTTTTGAATTTCAATACTAAAGTTTAGTAATAAAGGGCTTACTGACTAAACACCATCCAGTTCCTTCTCCTGCTCTAGGCCCGGGACCGCAGTAAAACCCTATGTAAATGGCTTCCACACTAGTCTACATAAGAAGGCTAGATAGAATAATCTATAAGGTACAGAACGGCCGCCGTATCTTGGCGAGTCTGAAGTTAGCCGTTTGTCTGCGCAATGGATCTTTTAGTAACAAAATTGTGTACTGCGCAGCTAATCGGCTAACTTCAGACTCGCCAAGATACGACGGCGGTATTGTACAGTGTCGTTGGGTTTTAATAATTTCTCAAACATTCCTTTTCAATTCTAATAAAAAAAATTACTAGGTACCTATATGTACCTATTTATTTGTCCTTGTAACAAAATAATTTTTTTATGTGATAGGTCGGCAAACGAGCAGGCGCATTACCTGATGGTAAGCAAACGGCGACGCCAACAGCCCGCAACGACAAAGGAGCTACGAGTGAGACCTTTTAGGGATTAGTGAACACACAAAGCTGTGGTTATTTCACGCCGGTTTTCTGTGAGGCCGTGGTAACACTCCGGTCGAGCCGACGAAGCATGGCTCTCGCACATTTATTTGAATAAACTTCAAGCTGACGCTTGTTTAACGAGTGCAGCCGCGTGTAACAGCTAGTATAGCAAATAAATAAATCAAACTATGTTAATTAGAAGCATCACGCTACTGACAGTCGCACGTCACCCAGGGTCACAGGTTCAGAGCGATTTATGCAAAACTATTTAAGTACTTATACGTCGTTAGCGACGTCTGTCAACGCTCAACTAATAAAATGCTGTTTATTTTTCAACAAATGAATGAACTGTATAGTAATTTATATTTAGGTACAACTAGCTACTCTCGCGCCGTTTCACTCGCTGCTCAGTTACATTTGATCGTAGCGTGATGTTTCATAGCCTATAACACTCAGGAACATTGTAGCTATGTATCAGTGAAAGAATTTTGGCAATCCGACCAGCGGTACCGAAGATTACCCCCTACATACAAACTTACAAATTTTACCTCTTTACGTATAGATATATGGAAACAGGATTTATGCAGTGCTATGCTTCGGCACAAATGTGTCGTGTCGACGTGCGGTCGACACGACACATTTGGCTTCGCAGAAAACTGGCGTGAAACAACCTCAGCGTTGTGTTTCGCCGTGTGAGTTAGAATACCGGAGGCCCGGTCCTTCCCCACCCCCAATTCCTTCCCAATCCCTAAATCCCCAAATCCCTAAAAGGTCGGCAACGCATTCGTAACTCCTCCGTTGCGGGTGTCAATGGGCGACGCTGATTGCTTACCATCAGGTAATCCGTTTGCTCGTTTGCCGACCTATAACATAAAAAATAAAATGGCATTTTATTGTGAACAGATGTTTTGTACGTTCTTTCTGTTAGCCAGGGTTGCGGGATAAGCCCAATGAGTCACGGCGGCCTCGGTCCAGAGCAGAAGAAACTGGGGATTTTTAGTCAGTAAGAGTCCGACTCTCTCTCCCACCCGGCCCTGGGCGGGAGAAGTCATTTTTTTTTTATGTGATAGGACGGATTACCTGATGGTAAGCAATCGGCGTCGCCCATGGACACCCGCAATAAAGAAGGAGTTACGAGTGCGTTGCCGACCTTTTAAGGATTGGGATTTTGGGGATTTAGGTATTGGAAAGGGATTGGGGTAGGGGAAGGATTAGGCCTCCGGTAACCTCACTCACACGGCGAAACACAACGTTGTGGTTGTTTCACGCCGGTTTTCTGTGAGGCCGTGTCATCACTTCGGTCGAGCCGACCAATTCGTGCCGAAGCATGGCTCTCCCACACTTTGTCACACTTCCACATTTGATGATATTGCCATCACAAAAAAAGTTCGATTCTGTTCATCGAATTTTGGTGCTGACTGTATATTATAGCGGCTTCACCTAAGCCTAGGAAAATGAATGTATAACGAATTAATAACCGTACCTACCTACAAAGAGATAAGATCACGTTTAAACTGACAGTGTATCACATGTAACGGTCAAGTGAAATTATTTTAGCACGTGATCCATCATTATCAGCTCTATTGAGCGATACAAGGTGGACAGATGACCTGGCAAAGGTCAGAGGAACCTACTAGGCGCAGGTCGCTTCCTACAGAAGTTTTTTTAGAGGGGAAAAAGTCAAGAAACGTAAGTGTGGGAGAGCCATGCTTCGGCACGAATGGGTCGGCTCGACCGGAGTGATACCACGGCCTCACAGAAGACCGGCGTTAAACAACCACAGCGTTGCGTTTCGCCTTTGTGAGTGAGGTTACCGAAGGCCCAATCCTTCCCCGCCCCCAATCCCTCCTCAATCCCTAAATCCCCAAATCCCTGATCCCTAAGAGGTCGGCAACAAACTCGTAACTCCTCCGTTGCGGATGTCAATGGGCGGTGCTGATTGCTTACCATCAGGTAATCCGTCTGCTCGTTAAAAAGTCATCAAATCTCTTCTCTCGCGTGGGGTGAGCTGAGAATCAGTGTCAGACTCTTACTGACTAAAAACCATCTTGTTCCTTTTCCTGATCCGAGCCGGGGGATAATATTGCGCTTTCACCGAATACCCCGGCACGTGGAGATGCCCTGATGGTCTAACAGGAATTGGACCACCAGGGTAGTTACTGTGATATGTGATGCTGGCTAAGAAGAAGGCAGCGCATGTGAGGGAGCTATCCATCAGCTACAATCTCCGGTAACAGTAAGCGCGGGTCTGCGAACGGCGAGCAAGAGTAGCTCGTTACCCGACCAGAACTAGACCCAAGTGTAGGGCGCGTAGCGTTCCGCGCACTCCTCAAAGAGCCAATAGACCACAGACGGCGCCTAACAGGGCCGATGTTTAGCCGGGCTTGCAGAGTTAACGCCATAAGGTAGCAAAGCCTCGACTCAAAGCAGGAGAGGAAACGGAGGTGCTTTAAGTCAGTTGCAGTATGACACTCCCTCTCGCCTTTCCTTTCAAGTCATTTGAACATGGTCAAACCAACTAAATAATGTATCAAAGAATCTTTATGTGACACTGATTGAAAAAGAGTAACCATGGAGTTTCTTGCTCGTTCTTCTCCATCGGAATCTACACTTTGGTAAGAGCGAATAGCTTCACTAAGAGGACTGACCGACAGACTGACATTTTATATCTTTAAAATTTTGTTTGACGTTCAAAAGTGCCTGAATGGGGCTAATTGAAATAAATGATTTTGACTTTGACTTTTGATGATTTTTCCCTCCTAAAAAAGGGACTTTAATAACACGCAGATCTATATGGGACAGTAACATCGCAAAACAGGCCAAAAACAAACGAAAACTTGGTGCGAAGAATCGATTGCAAATTTATTATTTTTCCAATAAAACGAATGGCCCATTCAAAATCGAGGTTCGCGTAAGAATTTAACGTTACATTATGTAATTTGCATCCATTTAATATTCAATGTCAATGTTTTGGGCTGTGCGTGGATGATTGTGTAAGCAAATAGTAGAATTCTTTATAGTAATTATGTAAACATTTAAAATTATTTAGAGTAGAGCAATCAGCATCTTACCAGCTACTGGATCGGCTCGACCAGAGTGATACCAGGAAAAACCAGGCGTGAACCAAACATTGCTGCAGGTGTCCATGGGCGGCGTTGATTATTTACCACCAGGAATGCAATCGACATCGCCTATCTGATAAACTTGAACCTTCTGAACTACCCAATCCGCTTGCCAAAGTTGGAACGTTTTTTGAAGGGGCAAAAATTAATCAAATGTTTTCTACCACCCTAGGTAGAGCGAGAGGGTGTATCAGACTTTTAATCACTAAAACCACCCCAGTCTCTTAAACTGCTCCGGGCGAAAGCCACGGAACCTTCTCGCGCTTGCCACGCAACACCATCTAGACATCAGCGCTATTGGGCGCCATCTGCAATGGTCTGAGGGCTCTTTATGACGCGGAACGTGACGTGTTTTACCCTAGGGTTGGGTATATAATATTTCAATAATAGTTAAGTATAACTTATTAGCGAAGTAGCGACCCGCCCCCGATTTTCACGGGTGCAATACTGATACTAAATTTCTCCAATATTTTATGGATGTTATATGTATAATAACATATGAAATACCTTCCTCTTCAATCACTCTATCTACTAAACCAACCGCATCAAAATCCGTCGCTTAGTTTAAGAGATTAAAGCGTACATAGGGATATAGGGATAGAGAAATCGACTTTGTTTTATACTATGTAGTGATAATG